ATTTGTTGTGAAGGTTACAATGCAATACTATTGTCGACATAAGACACGTCCAAACCTAGAGAGAATTTTCGTTAAAAATTTATTTGAGCCAAACTGATAATTGCTAGGAAGCAAGATCTGTTTTTTAGTTTCTTTCTTGCATTTGAAATTAAGGAGGGAACATAAGGAAGATTATCTGAAGGTTGGAAAAAGCAAGGTGCGGATTGGATTACAGGGTAGTTAAGGTTGTGTGTTCTCTCAAAGGTTACGCCATTGAGTCTCTTCTAGCATTTCAAAGATGTGTTAACCTAGATGCACAAGAACAATGGACAGGGATTGTTTAGTAACTTTTCACTAAAGAAGCTATAGGCCTGGGGTGTGACTACCCACTTTGACCTGCCCAGTTAGGAATTTATAATTTTTTTACAGATTTTCATCTACGCCATCATTATTTTCTTGCTCAGATACTTCCAGTTTTAGCCATTAGGAGCTCAGTCTTTGAGTTTAAATGACTTGTCCATGTAAATGGCTGCCATTTCTATCCCACCTTTGCCCCCCACCCAGGGAACCATTGCTTCTTTGGGGTCTGGGCAATGATGACTCAGGTAAAGGAACTATAATCAGGAGAATAAATACCAGAGGACCAAGGAAGGGAGGACAATGTGTGCAAGAGTCAGCTCTCAGGAACTCTGCAGGAGTGAAGGGAGTAGCAGTTATCAGCTTTTCCCCTGGTGCTGCCCCAGAGAAACCCACAGGAGTAGGACCATGTGCCTGGGCCACATCATGCCCACTGAGATGCCCTGTGTCTCCAGGATTACCAGCTGGATTTAGAAACATCAGAATGTTATTCTGGCACCTTTGGCAACTGAATGGAGACCACATCTTTTCTTCCTGGTGGATAAGTGCTTAGTAAATAGTTATGGAGTGACACCTCATGTCCCCCCCCCCCCCCCGCCCCCTCCTCCCAATGGTGGTGCAAAATTTGTGTATGTAGAGATTCTCCAGGAATGATACTTGGCATTCATGCTGATTTACCTGTTGTTATATAGCTTGTCTTCTCTGCTAGATTTTTTCTTTTATTATTTTGGAAAAATTCAAGCATAAACAAAAGGAGAGAAAAAAAGCAAATGAACCCTCAGGTAACTACCTATCACCTAGCTTCAATACTTCTCAATATTTTGCCAATCTTATTTATTCCCCCATTTTGGGGGATGGGGCTGGTCTATTTGAAAATAAATCACAGACATTACAGTCTAAGAAAGGATTGAAATGAACTGTGAGTGTAAGGATAGTACTTCGATTTCCTTTGCATTTTTTTTTGTAGACCCAGCGCTATGCCTGAAAATAGCAGGTGCTCAGAAAAGACTGGTTGAATTGAGAAGAGGAAAAACAAAAGTATGAAAACATTATTTTGAACTAACTCTAGGGCAAACTTCTAGAAAGTAAAAGGGTGGCAAGTCTTGCCCTAAAATAACTTCTTTCATGGTACCTACATTTCTTCTCTAGTCATGACACCTCTTTCCTTCAAGACCGCCTTGATCAGGGTCTCAATTTACTAAATTTTATTATAAGTAAGTCTGTTCTGATAATGTTTTTCCCAAACACCAACCAGGGGTTACCTGCCCCAAAACAAACTTCTGTTTAAAAAAAATCATTACTGTTTTTTTCACTATAAAAATAATATATACTCATTGAAAGAAAAATAGGAAATTAGAGAAAAATAAAAAATAAAAATAATCTGTATTTCAAGTGGAACTCCAGAGATAATATTATCTCGATTAGCATTTGGGTAACATTTGAGCATGAATCACATTGGTATCAGTCAATGAAAATACAGTATGTTTCTGGGAATGTACCAGGTGTATGTGTATGTAAATCTCATCAAATTCTTACAGCAACTGTTGTGAGATTTTCACTGTTTTCCAGCTGGGGAAACATGCCTAAAGGGATTGTTTTAGTCACTCAGCGGATAAGCAGGCTGGGCAGCAGATCTCTCTTGAAAGACAATTGTGTTAGTGGCTGACTGTTCACACCTTGGATGTTCACCCACAAGACCAAGGAGACCTCACACATGAGCTTTCTTCATGCTGGCTCCCTGTGTGGTCAGTTTTGAGGAGCGCACTAAGACTAGAAAAAATCTGAAGTAATTCTTATAAAAAAATTTTTTTCCTTTATTAATTTTTTATAGAGAGAGAAAGGGAGGAGAGAAAGATAGAAACATCGATGAGAGAGAACATCGATAGGCCGCCTCCTGCATGCCCCCCACCGGGGATCAGGCCCACATCCTTGGCATATGCCCTGACCGGGAATTGAACTGGCAACCTCTTGGTGCATGGATCGATGCTCAACCACTGAGCCACACCGGCCAAGGCTGAAGTGAATCTTTTTAACTGGATCCCACATAGTCTCAATAAGCGGGGTTAGCAAAGAAGAGCTAATTATTCAGTAATCATTAAGGATGGCTCCTTGCTTTTATAATACATTTCTTATCTTTGGACAGATTCCTTGAGCTGCTGTTCAGCAGTAGTAGCCTATGGTTATTCTGAGCTCACTACTAGGGTAGGTTTCAAATCTCTTGAAGCCATGAAGCCATACTCCCTGCCTCTGTAAAATGCAGGGGACATATGTGTGTGCTCTCCACTGTAGTTCTGTGATCAGAAACCCCTCGGGCAGCTGAGCCCCCTGTCAGGGGATAATCCCTCCACAAGCAGCTCTTAGAAAAACAACGTTCCCAGTCTAAATTTTCCAAGACTGAGATTTTAATAAAGAACGATTGGCACTCCCAGCATTTACGCTTCCTGAAATTAAGTCCACAAGAGGTTGTCTGATTGGCCCAGGAACCTGCAGACTTACCTGGAAGGAAGAGAAGAGACCTTCAGGAAGCCCTTCGAACAAACAGGCCCAAGGAAAGGAACAGGAGGGTGTGGGAGAGAGGTAGAAGGCCCTTAAAAAACTCTGCATATGGCAAGGGTTTGTGTTGGGTCCACCCAGGCCCCAAGGAAAGAGATTGAAATGTCCATGTGAAGGGTGTGGCAGAAGCCCAGACTTTGGAGCTGACCACGTGGGCTCAGGCCCCAGCTTCACCACTTACTGCTTGCGTAGTCTTGGGCAAGTTCTTTAATCTCTCTAAACGAAGGTTTAGAGAGACTAATAATTCTTATCTCGTAAGGTGGAGATGAGAATTAAATAAGGTAATAAAGTTATTTAACCCCAATACATGGCACAGTGTCAATGCACAAATAAATCGCTTTTACTAGCTGTTATTACTGTTATTTCTTATGATACCTTCAGGACTAAATACAGGTCACACTGTTTAATTGCTGCTTGGGTCAAATCTTCTTTTTTGTGGTTTGACCCAGGAAGCTAACCTCCTTTAATTACATTGTGTCTAGAGAGACATGCTTTCTAGGTTTCCCTCAAACTAACCTAGAGCTAAATTGTTGAAATACTACCCTTTAGTAAGTAAGAGGCCATCCTGAGAGTTGGTAAAATTTTGTTTTTCATAGTAAATTACCACATCCCCACATCTCATTAAACACACACACACACACACACACACACACACACACCCCTTTATTTTCATTATAAAAGAACAGATGATACCATACAAAATTCTGAAAAGAAAAAAAAAATACACCCCTGTCTAACCCCATATTCCTGATACAATTGTTGCTAGCTTTTGGCTATTTTTTTTCCCTAGAGTTTTCTTATTTCTATCATTTTAGTGGTAATCATACACATATAGAGTTTATTTTCTCTTTTGTTACTTAAGATTTAATCATAAGCGTTTCTGTGTTATCACTTGGCATAGAAAATATTTTGGTCCTCATTCTGTTCATTAAATTGAGACTATGTTTGGCTGTAGAGATGATCGGTGCCCTGGCTTTAGCATGTCTGTGTCTGATAACATGGTTAGAATCTGAGGAGAGGTGTGGTTTTGGCAATGCAGGCAGCATGTCCGGGGTATTGCTTCTCACCAGGTAGCCTTCATCACTGTAGTGTTCTCACCATGGTCCAGGTGGTCCCTCAGCTATGTCCCTCAGAAACTGGATTTTTGTCAGTAACTGAGAACATAGCCACCTCTCAGATGAGTTCAAACTTAAGTATGAAATCGGCATGGTATCTTATCAAGTGACAGTGAGAAATACAGTTATAATGGTGGTTCTAGCCACCTCCAGTGTGTCTGCCTGTTGGCCATCCCTCATCTCTAGTTACTTAAAGAAAGTCATATAACAATATAACAATATTAACCACTTAGTGGGAGCTTCTTGTGTATCAGGAGGTGGGCTAACACTTGATGCATAAATACATTAGGGCACCCAGTCCCACCGTAACCTCTCTGGGTAAGTGTTATATTGATCCCCATTTTATAGACCAGAAGACCAGGTTTCATGGCCAATATGTGGTGGAACTGTGGATTCTGTCTGGATCAAAACCTCTGACTGTAACCATTTTAACTGTTATTCTACAGATGATTGACCTCCTGTGTTGACATTCTCTTAGTTTCTTGCCTCTCCCCACCTATTGGGGTGTGTCCCATGCCCGTGCCTCATTGTGAAATCCTTCGTTTTTCATCCGGTTGTTGAGGAACACATTGTTCTAGCTCTCACAGAGAAGAGCTTCTGTCTTGTTCTCCGTAACAAGATTTTGCATGTTGTAAGCTTTCTCTTAAAGCTGTGCCAGGAAGAGGACCCTTAGGGCTGTATTTTAGGCTCTGCCCAGCTCAGAACCAAGGAGGCATCCACAGTCTCTGCTTTCTCCTCCCAAGCAGCACCTGGGCATGGCTTTTCTCTGGGTGAAGGACAGCCCGAGAGAGGGCCCAGGGAGAACTCCCGCGATGTAGAGATGGTCGGAACCTTCTTCCTCTCAAATCTCTGAGTTTATGACCTCTGAACCCTAGCTGGAGAACTCCCATGACTGTTAGTCAAGTTCCGCTGGGGATAGGTTTTCAGTTTGTGCTGACGGGAATCATTTCAGGGTAGGATGTCCATCTGAAACATGCCTTTGTGATCACCTTGTAGAGATTGCTGGAGCAGAACGACGAGCAGAAGCAGGCGCTGCGTCTTCAGCTGTCATCGAGTGTGTAGTCCGACTGGGAAAGGGGAACAGGGAGCTTCCCGCCCGCAGTGAGGCCGAGTGACACATCGCAGGAGACATGGGCTTCCACACAACTTTCTACCTTTCCTACAAACTGCGGCTCCTGTTGCTTTTCACTTTATGCCTGACAGTGGTCGGGTGGGCCACCAGCAGCTACTTCATGGGTCCTATTCAAGAGACCCCGAAAGCAAAGGATTTCATTACTAATTTCAAAGAGGCCATGTTTTGGGGGAAGAAAAATACTCCGAGTAACAAAGCCTCTGTGAAAACAGTCCTGGAGAGCTGCCCTCCTGTCTCTCCACACCTCAGTAAGTATTTTCTTTATCACAAGGGCTACATCAGCGTTTTCATTCTATACATTACAGAAAAGTACAACGGCCAGGAGTGTACAGGTCAGTGAAGTTCCACGAAATGAGCAGACCTGTGCGGCCAGCATGCAGGTGAAGAAATGCTTAGTTAACACCCTGCCTTCGAGATGCGAACACCATCCACAGATTTTTCTCCTGTTTTTGAACTTTGCATAGAAGACATATGCTGTGTACACTTTTGTGCCTGACTTCCATTGTTCAACGTTAGGTTTATGAGCTGTGTCCGTATGGCTGATGGGGAGTCTTCCACTATGTGAACATACCCAATTTTATTATCCGGCTGCGAAAGTGCCAGCAGCATATGTCAATAGGCATAATTTAGCTCACAAATCTGAGGTGGGCTTGGGGGCGGTGGGTGTAGGCTGGTGGCCCTGCTCCACATGTCTCTCATCCTCCTGGGACCAAAAGGCTAGCCTGGGTGCATTCCTGTCCCGGCATCTGCAGACCACACATGGATAAATTCGGCCACATTCAAGCCTCCACTGTGTATCATCTGTTAGCATCCTCATGGCCAAAAGTCTGGAGTTGAGGGACAGGACTGAGTCTGTCCTTCAGTGTTGTGTTTAGTGTTTATTTCTTAAATATGTTGTTTGTTTTGATTCACCTTTGATGTCTTTCACTTTAAACGAGCAGTAGATTGGTATTAGTGAACCCGTGTGAGAGAAAAACTCCACTGCGATATTGTGCATAACCCACCAAGGTTCTAGTCAACCTCTGATTCTTCTGCACATTCAAGTGCTCCTGGTTTGCCAGGCACTCCTCTGAGCCTGCATATCGTTCCCTTTATCCCGAACGTCGTTCCTCAATTCATGTGCCCGGCGGATTCCTGTTTATTCATCAAAAGTCTAGTTTAGATCATGTCTCTCCCCGAAAGGTTTCTGAGACTGCCCCAGAGTTAGTCTTATGTTCCTGTGTCTGCCTGTATTTCTGCTGTTGTACCCACCACAGTGTGTGTTCTGTGTTTGCCTTTCTGCCCCAGGGCCTAGCGTGCGGGCAGGATGAGGGCAGGGTGAGCCTTGCGGTCTGTAGGGTCCAGGGTTCCTCACTTGTCCCGCAGAGGTGGCTCTCCGGGCACACTAAATGGACTCTCTCTGGGACGGCCTGGGGCTCTTGGGAGGCTTTTTGCCCTTAACTTGACAAAAACCCGCAGCCCCGCTTTCCCCACGGAATCACGGCCTCGTACCGTGTTCATACGGGCACGCTGCTTCTCTTTACCTAGTCACGGAGAAGCCAGATGGCATTCTGCTTGTGTGAGGGAATTATTTTGCTCACAAATTACACAAGTTGCGATAGAAAAATGAGTTATTGAAATGCAAATCTGAGGGGATTATCCTCCTTGTTTAGAATCCTCACAACATATTTAAGTAATAACTGTGTTTATAAAAATAAATGTGCAGCTCTGGCTGGTTTGGCTCAGCTGTTAGAGCATCGGCCCATGGACCAGAGTCGTGGGTTCGATTCCGGTCAAGGGCACGTTCCTTGGTTGTGGTTTGATCCCTGGCCCTGGTTGGGGTCATGAGGGAGGCAACCAATGGCTGTGTCTCTCTCACATTGATGTTTATCTCTCTGTCTCTCCCTCCTTCCCTCCCTCCCCCTCTATCTGAGAATCAATGGAAAAATATCCTCAGGTGAGGATAAAAAAAAAAAAAAGACATGCAGTGACACAAACCTGAGCAAGGACCTGGAGTGTGAGGGAGACATAATTAGTGGTAGATGAAGATGGGCCAGAAGGAACAAAACTTGAGAGGATGTCATGAGGGTGGCAGGGAGACTGAGAGAGGACATGGAAGCAGGTACTAGAAGGTTAGGGCCGTAAAAAGTCATGGCACTGAGAACGTGAGCAAGGGGACTGGTTTATATCAGACCTCTTACATGAGGCTCTTTCAGGGGCCAAGAACAGAGGCACGGTAGGTTAACGTGGATGATGGAGTTTATTAACAGGCTGCTCAGGAAGCCATCTCAGCAGCCACACCACCATCCCCTCCCAGCAGCTGCTCCAGTAGCTTGCCTCGCACGTGATTCCGTTTCTGGTGTTTGCTCCTAGGGCATCGCTGCCTTGCCGACTATGCCTCCCATGCAGAGCCTTCAGGAAAGGCTCTTTCTCGAAGGCCCGTTACTCTGTCTAGGTGGCTGCAAACAGTTATTTGTCCTTGGTGCTGCTTGGCAGAGTCTTAACTACTTCATGGGTGCCAGAGCCTGGTCTCAGCAGCCATGGCCAGGCTAGGGGTGGCCACCTGGAGCCAGGCACCGTGACACACATAGGCAGGGCCTGCAGTTGCTTTGCATGGAAGAGGATAGCACAATTCGCAAGCCACTTGAGATTTTACAGCCTGAGCAGTGTGTGTGGCGTTGTAACGAAGTGTGGCTCAGTTCCCTAACTGAGCTCTGCCTCCTTTCTTACCGGTCAGTATTCCCTGTTAATTCAGATCCAGGAGGAAGGTCAGTGGCTTCAGCCTGAACTTCAAAGCCTTGCATGAGATGGGTTATCTTGGACGGCTCTGGGGTTTCATGCAACCGGGCTGCGTCCAGACTCACAGAGCAAATGCTCTGTCGGGGATATCTGCCACCCCGATATCCCCATGTTGCACAGTTCTGGCTGTGTTGCACATACCTGTTATCGCTGGGTTAGGGAGCGAGGCTATTTTCTACTTCCTTGTGCTGTTTCACCATCAGGGAGCTAGGATAGCCCCTAAGAGCTCAGGGAAGAAGTGGGGAAGGGGCCTTGTCCATGAGCTTGAGTCCATGGATTGCTCTTGATTTTTTAAAAGGCTTCACCCTCCTTTGGAATTTTAAGGAGGAAAAGCAGATAGAGCACATTTGAGGTGTGTCTAGTCCTGACCTCTGCTTTCGTCAGGGTCATCAGGAGAGAACACATTTCTAATTCACTGGTGAATCACAGAGCCGAAGTTGGTTATCCGACCACAAGGGAATGCTCTTACATGTTATTTTCTTGCTTTTGTAGCCAGTAACCTGAGTCACATGGTTCTGTGGTTGTAGTTTATGACCAAATGAAGCTTCAAAGTAGTAGTAATAATAGCAGCTAGCACTCATATGGTGCTCACTGGGTGCCAGGTAATGTTCTGAGTGCTTACATGTGTACTAGCCCATGCCAGCCTGCCAACACTGGATGAGATAGCCATTGTTTCCTGTGTCCTGTTTTCATTGTAGGAGGCCAGGACAAGCTCATTTTCAAACCAGATCTCACGCTGGAAGACGTGCAGGCAGAAAACCCCAAAGTGCACAGAGGCCGGTATCGCCCTGAGGAATGTAAGGCCTCACAGCGCGTCGCCATCCTCATTCCACACCGCAACAGAGAGAGGCACCTGACGTACCTGCTAGAGCACCTCCATCCCTTCTTGCAGAGACAACAGCTGGAATATGGCATCTATGTCATCCACCAGGTGAGTGTGCCGACAGGCCTGGGCTCTGCCTCAGATTCCCCTCTCTCTGAGGGACTTGGCCCTGTGTCGGTCTTGGTTAAAAGGAGCATCAGACTATTGTCAAAGGAGAGATCTCTTATGTTGTTCATCCTTGAAAGGAGCGCAGGAAATTCTTGACCCAGAGTGTGGAGTAGTGGGACCAAGGGCTGGGGAATTTTACTGCCCCTTAAATGAACCTCTGGAGGAAGCCTGTTTTGTTGTGAGCCCTGCGGTGGGAGCCAGTGGCTGCTCTACGGTTTCCGCCTGAGTCTGCCTCACCTTTCCCTCTGCATTTGCCATGCACTGTGTAGTATGTTGGCATTGTTCTGCATTTGTCAGCGTGGCTACTCACTGGGATCTAGACAGAGGATTTGACAGCCTGCTGTGTTAATAGCCCTGGGGTTCTGTAACCCTCTCCACCATTCTGCCTTTAACTTTGCCACTATTTATTATGTAAAACATGTTCAGTTTTCACTTTATTTTTTTTATTATTATTACTTTTTTAAAATCCTTACCTGAGGATATTTTTCTATTTATGTTCAGATAGAGTGGGAGGGAGAGAGAGGGAGAGAGAGAGAGAAAGAGAAACATCAATGTGAGAGAGAACAACTGGTTGCCTCCCACACAACCCCTGACCAGGGCCAGGGACGAACCGCAACCAAGGTACGTGCCCTTGGCCGAATCGAACCTGAGACTCGTTGGTCTGCTGGCCGATGGTCTGCTGGCCGATGCTCTGCCGCTGGGCCAAACCAGCCAGGGCTGTTTTCACTTTCTTGATTTACTTATCTGGCTTCCAGAAGCATGATTTAGTAGGAACACAGTAAGTGTAAGTGTTAGATGCTTTTGAAGAATTTAGCTCTCAGTGGAGTGGGTAATTAAAGATGCCTTTATTTGGTATTAATATTTATTGAAAGAAAAATAAGGCATCAACTTGAATATCTGTGTCTAGCTTTTCAAAATTGCCCTGGGCCATCCAAATGATTTCCCCTCAAATCCTTACAAATGCTAAAAATGCAAGCAAAATCATTAGTTACATCCTTACTATTGGTTATAACAAGTAATACTGTATTTGTTTTATGAAAACTTTTGACACATCAGAGTATATAACTTTACAATGTATATTTTATAATCAGTTGGGGATCTTGAAAATTAATATGTCTGTATAATACATTTATGCCTATTACTTTAGTATTTGAAATAAAATTTTACTATTGTTAAATTTTATAATTATGTTTACTTTTATTTATTATTATTATTTTTTAAATGGGAACAGGAGAATGTGGCCCAATGCTCAGGGGTGGCTATACCATTAGATTGCTATCTTTTTTTTTGTTTGTTTCTTTATTGATGTTAGAGAGAGAGAGAGAAAGAGAGAGCAAGAGAGAAATAGAAACATCAATGAGAGAGAACATCAACTGGCCACCTCCTGCATGTCCCCTCCCCCCCCCCCCCCCCCCCGGGGATTTAGCCCACATCCTGGGCATGTGTCCTAATCGGGAATCAAACCAGCAACCTCCTGGTGCGTGGGTCAACCACTGAGCCACACTGACTAGACTTAGCTATTTTTTTTTTTATCCTCACTGGAGGATATTTTTTGCATTTATCTTCAGATAGAGTAGAAGGGAGAGAGGGAGGAAGAGAGAGAGAGACGCATTGACTGGTTGCCCCCCACACAACCCCAACCAGGGCCGGGGACAAATGGCAACCAAGGCACATGCCCTTAGCAGGAACCGAACCCGGGACTCTCCAGTCCGTGGGCCGACGCTCTAACCGCTGAGACAAACCGGCCAGGGCCAGACTTAGCTATTTTTAAGTGTACAGTTCAGAAGTGTTAAGTATATTCACACTGTGCACTCAATCTCTAGAACCTTTTCATCTTGCAAAAATGAGAATCTGTAAATGACAATTTCCCATTTCAAGGTATGTTTTTTATTTTTAATTAAAAACATTTTTTTTATCTTTATTGTTGAATATATTACAGATGTTCCTCCTTTTTCCCCTATTGACCCCCTCCTCCCCACTCCCGTCCCCTTCCTGCCTTTCCCCACACTGTTGTTTGTGTCCGTTGGTTATGTGTATATGCATATAAGTTCTTTTCTTCCCACTCCCAACCCCCCTTCCCTTTGAGGTTTGTTAGTTTAGCAACCAATTTTTACTTAATCCCTTCACCTTTTTCACCCATTCCCCCAACCCTCCTCCCATCTGGCAAACAACAAAATGTTCTCTGTATCTATGAGAATGTTTCTGTTCTGCCTGTTCATTTTGTTTGTAGATTCAGTTGTCGATAGATATGTGTTCATTGCCACTTTGTTCATCTTTTTAATCTTTTTCTTTAGGAAAACCCTTCAACATTTCATATAATAATGGTTTGGTGGTGATGAACTCCCTTAGCTTTTCCTTGTCTGGAAAACTCTTTATATGGCCATCGATTTTAAATGACAGCTTTGCAGGATAGAGTAATCTTGGTTGTAGGTTCTTGCTTTTCATCACTCTGAATATTTCTTGCCACTCCCTTCTGGCCTGCAAAGTTTCTTTTGAGAAATCAGCTGATAGTCTTATGTGAACTCCCTTGTAGGTAACTAACTGCTTTTCTCTTGCTGCTTTTAAGATTCTCTCTTTGTCCTGAACCTTTTGCATTATGATGATGATGTGTCTTGGTGTGGGCTCTTGGGGTTCATCTTGTTTGGGACTCTCTGTGCTTCCTGGACTTGTATGTCTGTTTCCTTCATCAAGTTAGGGAAGTTTTCTGCCATTATTGTTTCAAACAGGTTTTCGATTTCTTGTTCTCTCTCTTCTCCTTCTGGCACCCTCAAGATGTGAATGTTGGCACACTTGAAGTTGTCCCAGAGGCTCCTTACACTATCCTCATTTTTTTGGATTCTTTTATCTTTTTGCTGTTCTGATTGGGTATTTTTTGCTTCCTTATATTCCAAATCGATGGTTTGCTTCCTGGCTTTATCTACTCTACTCTTTTTTTTTTTTTATCCTCACCTGAGGACATCTTTTCCATTTTTTGTTCAGGTAGAGTGGGAGGGAGAGAGAGGAACAGAGAGAGAGAGAGAAACATCGATATGAAAGGAACACATCGAGTGGCTGCCACCCACACGACCGACCAGGGCCGGGGACAAACTGCAACCGAGGTACATGCCCTTAGCGGGAACCGAACCCGGGTCTCTCCGGACCGCAGGCCGACGCTCTAACCGCTGAGCCAAACCGGCCAGGGCTCTACTCTTGAATCTGTGTAAATTATTCTTTATTTCAGTTAGTGTCTCCTTCATTTCTGACTATGCATCTTTCATTTCTGACTGGTCCTTTTTTATGCTCTTGAGGCCCTCGCTAAGTTCACTGAGGTTCTCACTAAGTTCATTGATCATCCTTATAAGCAGTGTTTTGAACTCATCATCTGTTAGCTTGCTTATCTCCATTTCGCTTAGTTCTTTTCCTGGCGTTTTCTTCTGTTCTTTCATTTGGGACCTGTTTCTATGTCTCCTCGTTTTGGCTGCCTCCTTGTGTTTGTTTCTATGTATTACTTAACGAGAGGTATGGGGCTATCTGAGACCAGATGCTGCTTGTTTGAAAGAATTTAGAAAAACCTGAAGCAGGATCCAAGACAGGCCAATCCTATGGTTAAGCAACTGGCAACAGCTTGGGTGGGCCTGAAAATTGGGTGGGGCAGGGCCTCAGGAAATTACCAGGGCAGGGCTACCAGTGTGAGCCAGGTTGCTGGAGTCTTAGATACGGGGGCTATCTGCCTCCCCAGGGAAGGGCTCACCAAAGGAAGAAAGGCCTCTGACAGCACGTCTGTCTAGGAGAAAGCCCCCTCTCCAGCCCTTGCTGGAATGCCAAACAGCTCAGTTCTTCCCTGTATGTCTCTGGTGCCCCTCGAGCTGCCTCCCCTTCAAGCTTAGAGGGAGTGAGTCTGATAAGTCCATGCATGGTCCCTTTAAGAGGAGCTGCCTGGGGCCCCAGCCACCTCAGCCTCCCTGAGCCTCAGTTCCCACTGATTTTTCCGGCCTGAAGTTATGGGGACTTTTCTTCCTGGCACTGGAACCCTGAGCGGGGCACCTGGTGTGGGACGGGGACCCCTCAGTCCTCAGGGAGGACCTTCCCAGCCGAGGTGTCCCTTCTGATTTTTATCCGCCACATGTGGGTGTGGGACCAGCCGGTTGGCCTCCACCCCTCCTACCAGTCTCGATGTGGCTGCTGCTTTAATTCCGTAGTTGTAGGACTTCCATTCAGCTTGATTTCAGGCAGTTCTGAATGATGGCTGTCCTGTAGTTTAGTTGTAACTTTGATGTGGTTGTGGGAGGACGCGATACCATGTTTACCTACGCCGCCGTCTTGACCGGAAGTCTCAAGGTATGTTTTTAATTCTGGAATTTAAGTGAGTATGAAACGTGAAGACACAAGCTGTCTTTCCCTGTGATTGCAGCTCCTGTGGCTTCTTCATGTCAGCAGTGCTGCTGTGCATAGCAGGAGTGGTTCATGCAGCTCCCCTCTGAACCGCAGGGGCACAGCACGAAACCTCGTCTCTCTCCGGAGCTTCTCAACTTTTCCTTTCCCTCTCTGTAGGCTGGAAGTAAAAAGTTTAATCGAGCCAAACTCTTGAATGTGGGCTATCTAGAAGCTATCAAGGATGAAATTTGGGACTGCTTTATATTCCACGATGTGGACCTGGTGCCCGAAAATGACTGGAATCTTTACAAGTGCGAGGCTCAGCCCAAGCATCTGGTGGTGGGCAGGAACAGCACCGGGTACAGGTAAGGCGGCCCTGCTCTTGGCCGGCTGACCTGGTGAAGCTTGCCCTGTTGTCATCAAAGCTGTGTGGGATGCGTGTCCAGAGTGTCTTAGGAAAATGAGAACTAGAAACAGTGGCACATGACATATCACTTCAAGTTCAAAGCAGGAGCCCCGGCCAGTGTGGCTTAGCGATTAGAGCATTGGCCTGTGGACCGAAGGGTTGTGGGTTTGATTGCCAGTCAAGGGCACGTAGCTGGGTTGCAGGTTGGATCCTTGGCCCAGTCAGGGTTGTGCAGGAGGCAACCAATTGATGTGTCTCTTTCACATTGATGTTTCTCCCTCTCCCTCCCTCCCTCCCTCCCTCCTGCCCTACCTTCCACTGTCTCTAGAAATCAAGGGAAAAATATCCTCGGGTGAGGATTAACAACAACAACAACAGAGTTCAAAGCAGGCATTCGAGAAAGTCAGGTTTCTCCTTTTAGGAAAAAGCCCTACAGCAGCCTTGGCAGAGGACTGCCAAAGACAAAAGAGAAAGAACAGGAAAGGGAAATAACCCAGGCGTTGCCACCATGGCCTGCCCAGCACAGTGCTACACCGTGGCACTTTTTTATGCTGTCCCCACTGTGCAGAATTCACGTAACTCACCTGTCTATCCTTGATCCCCCTCTAGGAGGCAACAAAACGTTCCCCCAGTTCAACTTTTAGTCCTCTGTGGTGAGAATGTGACACCTCTTTCCAGCTAGTGGCATCTTTTCAGAGTTCTGAGGGAGGGTGAGGAGGGTGTACCCATTGAGCAGTCCGCTCAGGAGCCAGGACACCCAGGAAAAGTTCCTTCTGAAAGCCACTGTGGGAAGTGCGAGGTACCTGCATGTCTTAGTTCCCCATTTCTTGTGACCCCCCCAGGAGAGGCATATCTGCTGAATAAGGCATACCATATTTTATACCAGCTCCTATTTAAGCACAACAATGGGGAAATAGTGACCAAGAAAATGCTATACAAATGAAACTTTATATTCGCTTATGTGTGTACACTTACCTGTCAGCTTCCCCCAGGTCCTGCCATTCACAGGTGCTCACCATGTCTATGGTGCTTACTGTGCTCGGGGCCCTGAGACCAATTTTAAAAAATATTAATTAATTTTGTTATAGGTGTCCCTTCTTTCCCCCCATTGATAACCTCCTCCCCACTCCTGTCCCACCCCCACCTTCACAGTATTTTTGTCTGTGTCCATTGGTTGTGCATATGTGCATATAAGTTCTTTGGTTTATCTCTTCTTGCCCTCCCTCTGCCCCAACTCTTAGGTTTGTCAGTCTGTTCCCTACTTCCATGTCTCTGGGTCTGTTTTGTTCATCAGCTTATTTTGTTCATTGTATTCCACAAATAAGTGAGATCATATGATATTTGTCCTTCTCTGATTTTGCTTGGCATAGTACTCTCCATGTCCCTCCATGTCATCTCAAAGGGAAAGAGATCTCTCTAACAGCTGCACAGTGTTCCATTGTGTATATGTACCACAGCTTTTTTTATCCACTCATCTACTGATGGGCACTTGGGCTGTTTCCACATCTTAGTGATTGTAAATAAACCTGCTATGAATATAGGGGTACATGTATTCTTTCTGATTGGCGTTTTAGGCTTCTTAGGATATATTCCTAGACATAGAATCACTGAGTCAAATGGCAGTTCAATATTTAATTTTTTGAGGAAATTCTATAGTGTTTTCCATAGTGGCTGCAGCAGTCTGCATTCCCACCAGCAGTGTACTAGAGTCCCCTTGTCTCCACACTCTGGCCAGCACCTGCTGTTTGATGATTTGTTTATGGCAGCCATTCTGACAGGTGTGAAGTGATACCTCATAGTCATTTTAATTTGTGTTTCTCTGACCTTAAGCCAGGAACAGGTATATAGATCAGTGGAACAGAACAGAGAACCCAGAAATTGACCCAAGACATTATGCTCAATTAATATTTGACAAAGGAGGCAAGAGCATACAGTGGAGTAAAGACAGCCTCTTCAATAAATGGTGTTGGGAAAATTGGACAGCTACATGCAAAAAAAATAAAACTAGACCGCCAACTTACACCATGCACAAGAATGAACTCAAAATGGATAAAAGACTTAAATGTCACTCGTGAAACCATAGAAATCCTAGAAGAAAATGTGGGCAGCAAAATCTCAGACATCACAAATAGCAGAATTTTCACAGATACATCGCCTAGGGCAAGAGAAACAAAGGACAAAGTTAATAAATGGGACTACATCAAACTACAAAGCTCCCGTACAGCAAAAGAAACCAGCATCAAAATGGAAAGGGAACCCACTGTATGGGAGAGCATAATTGCCAAAAGTACATCAGATAAGGGGTTAATTTCCAAAATCCATAGAGTACTCATAGAACTCAACAGAAGGAAGGCAAAGAATCCTGAGGCCAATTTGAATGGGCCTGGTGCCTGCCCTCAGAGAGCTCCCTGTTGTGTGCTGGTGTGAGGAGACAGCTATTGCATCAATTTTGCACTTAACTTTTGCAAATTCAACTAATAGCACTTGGTAACGAGTGAGGGAAGTGGGAGGAGAAAAATCTGCGGGGGAAGATGCCATGTGCCTGAATGAGGGCAGGTGTAGGGGGGCCGCAGGGCTGGAGAGTTTCTGGGAGAGAATCCCAGGATTTTTTTCTTTTGGGAAACTTGATCTTTGATTCTGAATCTCATTATCTGGAGGTTTTGTTTTCTGGTCTCTGAGCCACCTCTGTTTGAAGAAAGCAGCATATTATGGCTGGGCACCTTGATATTTTCAGAAGCATGTCAAACCATCTGTTTGCTTCTTGTGTATTAATAAGTTTTCACTATCTACAACACAGAATACCCTGACACAGATGATAACTAAACATCTGTGGTGAGAAGCTACAATCACACAGTGTTTTTTGGAGGTGCAAATAACAGGATTGTTTTAACGATGGGCCTTTTGTTGGAATTCTAGATTTTATCTTTGTGTTAAGCTGGACCACAAGAAACTGAGTTCTTGGGTATTCCTGCTGGGAATTGATTTTGAATAAAACGTTAATGTCTCAAGCATGGATTTCATCAGAGGCTACTCCCTCTCAAAGCAGCCCGTGTGAATCTTGCTGTTTTAACTGGCTGTTGTAACTGGCCAGACATTACTTGTATAACTATCAGAAAGCCTTTGTGTTTTTGAGTAACTGGCAGGTTTTCTTAATGTGAATCTGGGGGTTGAACGTATTCTCTCTTTTCTTCTGGATGCAAGAAGCTCTGAGCCAAATCCGTTGCTTTCTGTTCAAAGTTTAAAAGAATCTTATTTGCAGATCGGAGTTCTGTATTTCCCACTTTAATCGTCTCTTCCGATTTAAGTTTTCCTCTGGTCCTGGTTTGTCATTTTTATATTTTTTGCTTTGTTATATGTACCATGTAAATTGCCTCCTCTGCTGTGGGCAGGGAGAGACATGCATTAGCAATGACACTGCCTCCCTCCCCTTACCTTTGCTACCTTGGGCAGAATCCCTCTCTAGCGGGCAGCTAAGTGACTGCTCCCTGCTGGTAACTGTGTCACTACGCCACAGAACTGAAACCAGCACGTACTTTATTTATTCCTTATCACAACAGTCATACGAATATGATAAGTGCAAAAAATGTTTTTGCTTTACACACATGCAGAGAGAAGGAGTGAAGGTAACTTGCCCCAGCGGTCTCACATTCTGATGATAAAGCTCTGGACCAGCCGGTGGCAAATTTTACTGCCAAGAATTCCTTTGGTACCTGCCTGCTTTCTCCAAGGACTCGGCTGTTATTTTATGACTACCTTTCCCCAATCTTTCAGCCCTTTAAAAAGAAATACAACTGTCCGGGGCCAATGAAATAGTTGTGTGTTTCCAGATCAGAAAAACCTAAAGCAGAGATCAGTAAACACCGAGGCAGATGCTCTCCGGAGGCCCCTGCGGACGGAGCTCTTTAACCTCTCCCTCCGATCGCCCTCCTGCCCTTCCCACGGCGCAAAACCGCTGTCCGGGCGCGGCTCAGACAGCGTGCACTTTTCTCCCTCTTTCCTTTCCCTCATGGACTTCTGGCCACCTAGAGGTCCCCCATTTTTCTACCCATCTGAATCCTCCATTGTGTGGCACCTACTTCCTCAGAACCCTGACAGTGCTCACCTCTCATCAGACCATAAACTCTTTGAGGGCAGGGCCCAGGGATCACAGCGTTTAGCCAGCTGCCTTGCTCCCGGCGCACAGTGGGTACTCGGTAGGTCACTGTCAGATCATCAGTGCTGGTTCTGTCCTGGTGACCCATCCGCGGTGCTTGTCAGGTTAGGCCTGGGCCGTGCTTCTGCTCTGTCCTCACGCAGCTACTGGTCTAGGTAGTTAAGAGTCCCTTGACAGTCAGAGTCCAATAACCATGGCAACAGGTCACTAACCTAGATGTCTTGGGCAGTAATAGCTGCCTTCTGAACATTTTATTCCCTTTTGTTTGTTTTAGGTTATAATAACACCATTTTCTAGAATTTTAGGGTGAGGGCGTATGAGTAAATCTGTCTCCATTATGGGTTAAACAGGGTCCTACCTGCCATCTGTATTTGGAACACAGAAACCAACATTGAACCACAAATTACCTTCTGGGACTCCACCTTTTAGATGGCAAGTGTCTATGTGTTTATGGATCACTCCTTTTGGTTTTTCTCCTTGTCTGGAAAATCAGAAATATTTCATAGGTCCTGGAGCACTTTGAACTGAAGTTAAAGTTTGAAATGCTCCACAGATTCACATTCCTTTACTCAGGAACACTCACGTTTTTTTTTTTTTTTTTTATCCTCACCCGAGGACATTTTTCCATTTTTTGTACAGATAGAGTGGGAGGGAGAGAGAGGAAGGGAGAGAGAGAAACATCGACGTGAAGGGACACATTGAGTGGCTGCCACCCGCACAACCAACCAGGGCCGGGGACAAACTGCAACCGAAGTACGTGCCCTTAGCGGGAACCGAACCCGGGTCTCTCCGGACCGCAGGCCGACGCTCTAACCGCTGAGCCAAACCGGCCAGGGCAACACTCACGTTTTTAAGCAGCCTTCATTTGCATTTCTGAATTGCTACAGTGTTATCTTCAGGGATATTTTTACTTCTCAGATTTGCTCATTGGTCCACCAGTAATCATGAGTCCTGTGTGACTGGGAGGTGCCTTCCAGCGGGTCCCTCTCGATCTTTTCTCTTTCCCCCTTTCCTTGGCGGTGTCCACATGGCTCCACCCTCTGCCCTCTTCTCACCTGCTACCTTGACCTGGGCTGGGTACCTTGACAGCTTATCCCCACAGCCATATCTTTAGCCTCTCTCCTCTCTTCAGCTTGGACCCTGTGTCCCTTTGGCCACCAGCAGAAGCCCCGGGGTATCTCCGATTCCACTTATTCAAAGCATAATTTACAATCTTCCTTTCAAAACCTAATGTTGTTCTGTATACTCTATTTCTGTGAAAGTCACTGTCCTCTACCTAATTGCTCAAGCAGGAAACTCAAGTTAGCTGAGGTGTGTTGGGTTCTTCTGGCAGCAGACGCCAGGGTGGAGCTCTGCACTCCCGGAGGTGGAGCTCAGCACACGAAGTGTGTGTAGGAACCGTCTCATGCTCTCCATCCCCCAAAAGTGAAAGTAAAAAACAGAATATTCTCTGTGACACTTATTCATCCTAAACCCGCATGCAGCCTCAGAACCCTCCTTAACCCAGAGCCCTGGTTAGCTACGACTCTTCGTTGGGTTGGCACATGAGGTGAAGTCTGTCATCCACATCTGAGGTTATGGTGCACACTCCCAGGTGCCTCTATTGAGCTCTGCATGCAAACATTAAACATGAACAATAATAGGTGGGTGGCACTTTGCCTAGTGAGGGGATGGAGCCCTTGTCTAGACAGGAATGAAGGCCAGCCAGGGAAGACCAAGGAGCTGGGCACCCAGCAGGAGTGGATGGGTGGAGTGCATGGTCTTCAAGGTGTTCCTAGTGTGCCAGCCCTGAATCAGACTTCTCAAGTGTCTGTGGCTTTGTGCTAATGTTCTTACCTTTTTTCTTCTCTCTTCTGCTCCAGGTTGCGTTACAGTGGATATTTTGGGGGTGTTACTGCCCTACGGCGAGAACAGTTTTTCAAGGTGAATGGATTCTCTAACAACTACTGGGGATGGGGAGGCGAAGACGATGACCTCAGACTCAGGTGAACAACAGAGACAGGTCCCCTTCACGGGGCTCTGCTATCGGCGATAGCTCTGGAAATCTATGGCTTATATTTCCTATAGATGCCCGTCCAGCAGGCCATGAGGCTGCAGATTTGGGTTTAAAGGGTGGCAGGGGCAGAGGGAGGGCAGGATACCCCAAATTGCTCTTAGCCACTGGTAGTGTGGAAATGATGGAAGATGGCTGGTTCTTGGCTCGTGGGTGTTAGGGGTCCACGGGTGTTGACGGAGATCTCTGTGACTTGTCAGTGGATATTGCTTACTGAGAAGGGTCTCACCAGTGAACGAAAAGCCGCAATTTGAGGAAGTGGCCAGAGGGCCCGTTAGAAGCCTATGCTCTGTCTCAGACCCCGAGGAATCCTGCCCTGTTCCAGTGCCCAGAGCAGGGAGTGCCAACAGCCTGTGAGGAGCTGCACACCCTGAAGCAGGCCAAGATGTCCTCTCTGTTAGGCATTAGCCAGCCCCACACACTGGGAGCAGCTGCCGGCCTGACTCCCGGCTGCTAACATTACCCTCAGATTCTCTTGGACAACTTTCTGCTCTGGGGGCTCGGAGGGAATATATCTGGCTTCCTCTCAGCTCCCTCCTCTGAACTTGGGTTTCATGGCCAAATAGTTATGGGTGTCCCCACCTTCCAGAAATAAGTAATTATTCAAGAGCCTGGGGCCAGTACCTTTAGACTTGTAATAACAGTGTCTGCCTGGCTATCAGGGGACCCCTTCTCCTGCTGTTGTCTCTTGGAAGGAAACTTTCCCAGCTAGGGTTCTGAACTGATAGATGTGTGACTGCCTTGCTTCAGCCTGAAGAAGCCAGGGCTCCCTGCTGGCCTTGCTCCCATGCACAGGATGGGACGGTTAGTGGAATTTTGCAGTGGTCATGTATCATCGCTGTCTTCTTTCCTGCTGCTCCTTGGCTGCAAGGTCGAGGGGAGCACCGAGTTTTGCTTTGTTTGATTAGATCATCAGGGCCTTTAGGGTGGTTCTCCACCAATGCCATAGATGACTAAATGGTTTTAACATAAAAGTTGGTTGAGATTATTTATTTACTCACCTGTGCAGCAGCTACCACCTTCTTTGCACCTATATGTCACATTACAGTTTGCAAAGCACGCCCCCTGTGGACGCTCTCATCTGAGCTGCCCGATCACCTCCGTAACACCACTAGCACTTTATCGATGGAAACCAAGACCTGGAACCATGAGCTGACTTACCAGGATTGTAAATAACAAGGCCTAGATTTCAACCTAGGTTCATGGGCTTTACAGCTCGTGGCCTTAAAAGATCATTACTTTCTTTGTTACAAGAAGGAAGAACCAAGTAAACTAGGACCCTAAGAGACTTGATTCTCCTATTCGTCATACATTTTAAAAATTTAGTTTTCAATTACAGTTGACATTCAATATTATATTAATTTCAGGTGTATAGTATAGAGATTAGACATTTATATACCTTAAGTTATGATGTTTTAAAACATGTTCTTTTTCAGTTGTTTTTGGAAAATGACGAACTGTGAATTATATCTCCTTTGTACCCCAAAAGTAAATGTTAAATGTGATTATTTTTTTTATGATTTACTGCCTGAGGCCCAACATTATTAGAAAATTCTTTTTTTAAAAGATACCCAAATAATCAAGCTATGTTTGACTGTGTGTACACGAGTATAAATTTTTGCAAACGATTCTTTTTAAATGCCTCGTGGTAGATAAATAGGATAGAATTAAAACAAACAAACAAACCACTTGTGTTATTTTTCTAGGGTTGAGCTTCATAGAATGAAAATAATCCGGCCGATGCCCAATGTGGGTAAATACACTATGATCTTCCACACTAGAGACCAAGGCAATGAGGTAAACGCAAAACGGTAAGTCCTGGCTCCCTGTGCCTGGCAGGCCACCTACTTAGTCTCTTCTGTCAGGATGGATGCTGCCGAACCCAGTCAGATGAGCCAGTTTATTTAGTACAAAGCTTTTTATTGAGGTAATTTTCAAAGAGACGCAGGAGTAGAGGCAGTAGTATGTTGCACCTTCTTGTCCCCCATACCCAGCTTCAACAGTTATCAATTCATGGCCTCTGTTCTTTTTCCCACTTTTTCTCCCCCTCTATTGGATTATTTAGAAGCAGATCATAGATACCACAGCATTTCATGTGCACATACTCCAGTATGTATCCTTAAAATATAAGAAGTTTTTAAAAAAGAACCACTATACCATTATCATACCTAAAATAAAATTAATAATACTTTCTTAATATCATCAAATATCCAGTCAGTGTTCAGATTTCCCTGATGATCTCATAAATGCTTAAAAACAAACCAGTTTTGTTTTTATTAGGATCTGGGTCCACACGTTGCATTTAGATGATCTCTCTGAAATCTTTTAATCTGTATAGTCCCTCTCCCCCACTGCAATTTATTTGTTGAACAAATCAAGTCACTTGTCCAATGGAATTTCCTACATTGAGGATTTTGCCAGTTGCATCCCAGTGGTAAAACTTAATACGTTCCCCTGGACTCTGCATTTCCGTGTGAACTGGGTGTTAGATCTTGAGGCTTAATAGAGTCCAGTCCTGTTATGGGGCAGGAACCATGTCACGGATGGTGCCATGTACTTCCTCTTGTGTCACACAGGACGGAATGTCTGGTCATGTCTTTTTGATCTCAGGATCTGTGGATTTAGGTGTTGTCAGCCCCATCCACTCCTTATGAGGTTCCCCATCAGTTTATCACCTAATGATTTGAGCAGCCATTGCTGATTGTTGCCTAAATTTATGACTCAGGGATTAAAGAATTCTAATATTCTATCACTCCTTCTGCATCTATTAGATCTTTCTACTAAGAAGGACTTTCCCTCTTCATCTGTTTCAGTACCCTGGGGTACGGTTCTTATAGAAAAGGCAGAATTGTCCAGCCACTGTGGCTCAGTGGATTGAGCATCATCCCATGGACTGAGAGGTCCCAGTTTGATTCCAGTCAGGGCACATGGCTGGGTTGCAGGCTCCATCCCCAGTAGGGGGTCTGCAGGAGGCAGCTGATCCATGTTTCTCTCTCACATCAATGTTTCTATCTCTCTCTCCCTTCCTCTCTCTCTAAAAAAATCAATAAAATCATATAAAGGAAAAAAATTAGCATTGTCTTTTCACTTTCCAAAATGATGAGTTGATGTTCCCTGGTATCCTTCAGGATGTCATTAATATTTTTCAATACTCAGCTTGTCTCCTCTTTGGCAAATGGGATCTTCTTCATGCTGACTCCTGAATCCTTTGACATAAGAACACTCATTGTGAGAGCTTCGTTCCCTGTGCTCTGGTGGGATGAGCTGTTCTAGGCTCATCTTGTACTTCTGCCCTAGGAACTGGCCCTTTCACTAAGGAATTCTAACAGATAAGCCAGTTCTCTATGGGGCTATGACTGAAGAATCTATATTTTTTGTTCTGTTTTTTTCCTTCTAACTTTCCGTTTTTGTAATCTATACCCGAGGATATGTTTTTATTGATTTTTAGAGAGGAAAGGAAAGGAGAGGAGAGGAGAGGGGAGGGAAGGGGAGGGGAGAGGGGAGGGGAGGAGAGAGGAGAGGAAAGAGGAGAGAAAGAAAGGAGAGGAGAGGAGAGGAGAAAGGAGAAGAGAAAGGAAAGAAAGAAAGGAGAGGAGAAAGGAGAGGAGAGGAGAGGAGAGGAGAGGAGAGGAGAGGAGAGGAGAAAGGAGAGGAGAGGAGAGGAGAAAGGAGAGGAGAGGAGAGGAGAGGAGAAAGGAGAGGAGAAAGGAGAGAAAGAAAGGAGAGGAGAAAGGAGAGGAGAGGAGAGGAGAGGAGAGGAGAGGAGAGGAGAGGAGAGGAGAAAGGAGAAGAGAAAGGAAAGAAAGAAAGGAGAGGAGAAAGGAGAGGAGAGGAGAGGAGAAAGGAGAGGAGAGGAGAAAGGAGAGGAGAAAGGAGAGAAAGAAAGGAGAGGAGAAAGGAGAGGAGAGGAGAAAGGAGAGGAGAAAGGAGAGAAAGAAAGGAGAGGAGAAAGGAGAGGAGAGGAGAAAGGAGAGGAGAAAGGAGAGGAAGAAAGGAGAGGAGAAAGGAGAGGAGAGAGAAAGGAGAGGAGAAAGGAGAGAAAGAAAGGAGAGGAGAAAGGAGAGGAGAGGAGAAAGGAGAGGAGAAAGGAGAGGAGAAAGGAGAGGAGAAAGGAGAGGAGAGGAGAAAGGAGAGGAAGAAAGGAGAGGAGAGGAGAGGAGAGGAGAAAGGAGAGGAGAAAGGAGAGGAGAGGAGAAAGGAGAGGAGAAAGGAGAGGAGAGGAGAGGAGAGGAGAAAGGAGAGGAGAAAGGAGAGAAAGAAAGGAGAGGAGAAAGGAGAGGAGAGGAGAGGAGAGGAGAGGAGAGGAGAGGAGAGGAGAGGAGAAAGGAGAAGAGAAAGGAAAGAAAGAAAGGAGAGGAGAAAGGAGAGGAGAAAGGAGAGGAGAGGAGAGGAGAAAGGAGAGGAGAGGAGAAAGGAGAGGAGAAAGGAGAGAAAGAAAGGAGAGGAGAAAGGAGAGGAGAGGAGAAAGGAGAGGAGAAAGGAGAGAAAGAAAGGAGAGGAGAAAGGAGAGGAGAGGAGAAAGGAGAGGAGAAAGGAGAGGAAGAAAGGAGAGGAGAAAGGAGAGGAGAGGAGAAAGGAGAGGAGAAAGGAGAGAAAGAAAGGAGAGGAGAAAGGAGAGGAGAGGAGAAAGGAGAGGAGAAAGGAGAGGAGAAAGGAGAGGAGAGGAGAAAGGAGAGGAAGAAAGGAGAGGAGAGGAGAGGAGAGGAGAAAGGAGAGGAGAAAGGAGAGGAGAGGAGAAAGGAGAGGAGAAAGGAGAGGAGAAAGGAGAGGAGAAAGGAGAGGAGAAAGGAGAGGAGAGGAGAGGAGAAAGGAGAGGAGAGGGGAGAGGAGAAAGGAGAGGAGAGGAGAGGAGAAAGGAGAGGAGAGGAGAGGAGAAAGGAGAGGAGAAAGGAGAGGAGAAAGGAGAGGAGAAAGGAGAGGAGAGGAGAGGAGAAAGGAGAGGAGAAAGGAGAGGAGAAAGGAGAGGAGAGGAGAGGAGAAAGGAGAGGAGAAAGGAGAGGAGAAAGGAGAGGAGAAAGGAGAGGAGAGAGAGAAACATTGACTGGTTGCCTCCCATACAGACCATGACTGGGGATTGAACCTGCAACCTTTTTGGTGTGTGGAATGATACTCCAACCAACTGAGCCCCCCTGCCAGGGCTCCCCTAACTTTCACAACAGCATTAAAGGGCTTTGGGCCCTTTTGTTGAAGTCTTCATTTACAACAATATGAGTGGACTTTTAGCTTAATATTACAGGGCTTTATTAGAGTCTATATTTTAAAGCAATATCAAAAGGCTTTTTAGCCCTTTTGTTAGAATCAACCTCATTACTAAAACAACTATTTATATTTTCCATGTGTCTTACTAGTCTCTGTTCATAGACATGCATTTTTCTATTTAAATAAAAAATAATTATTATTGAATAGGTAAAAAGAATATTTATAAGTAGTATGAAAAATCTGAAGATTCTTGATACCATGAATACTGGTACTTATGCTTATTACCTATGTGGTCCTCCCCAATTCCATATCTGTCTCCCACATCAAGTGACAACAATTTCCTGAAATTTTGTGATCATTATAATTATTTGTGCCATTTCTAGTTTTTGTTTTTGATTTTTATTTTCCCATAACATCTTATTCTGACTTTATTTAGCTCAGCACTGTGCTTCTGATTTCCATCCACATTGTTACTGTAACTGAAATTAACTGCGGTCCACTGCTTGGCTCTCAGAGACCCGTTCAGTTTACCACCGCTCTTCCCCCACCCCAGGGCTCCAGCCACAGTTACTGATTCTTCAGTAGGCAGCCTGCGGTTTGTATGTCTGTGCGTCTTGCACAGGTGGTTTCTCTTCTGGGTGTCTTTCCCTCGCTGTCTTCACTTAGTGGATTTCTCCTCTTTTTAGCCTCAGTCACATTTTACTTCTCTCTGACCCTCTCCAGCCTCCATCAGGAAGTGAGGTGCCCTTTATTCATCCTCCTCTACATGCATTCGAACTTTGTTCGAGACTGTTGGGAAGGCTATGTACCCTCCTTTCGTACAGACAACATTTCCCTGACGACACTGGAGGGTTCATAGATCCCCTGAAGCTTATCCGAGGACCTACTAGCAGGGAATGACTCATATCCCATCGTATCAGTGTTACCTGTGTGTCTTCTGTCCTGCAGATGGGGGGCTCATTGCATGCAAGTGTCATTATTGACACTTTTCATCATTGGTCCCCAGGGTCTCACATGGGGTCTGACACATGAACACATGGGTATCATTGGTGTGTGTTACCTTCAATGGGGAAAATAAATTTTTTTTTTTTTCAGTAGGAAATCCAACAGGTGTAAAAATACCAATAATTTTGTGGCAAGGTGAAAGGCAGTTGTAATATATGTTAAATTCTTGCCTGGCCGGTGTGGCTCAGTGGTTGAGTGTTGACCTATATACAAAGAGGTTACTGGTTCAATTCCCAGTCAGGGCACATGCCCAGGTTGTGGGCCCGATCCCCAGTGGGGGGCATGCAGGAGGCAGCCAATCAATGTTCTCTCTCATAACTGTTTCTTCTTCTCTCTCTAAAAATCAATAAAGAGCCCTGGCCGGTTTGGCTCAGCGGTTAGAGCGTCAGCCTGCGGGCCGGAGAGACCCGGGTTCGGTTCCCGCTAAGGGCATGTACTTCGGTTGCAGTTTGTCCCCGGCCCTGGTTGGTCGTGCAGGTGGCAGCCACTCGATGTGTCCCTTTCACATCGATGTTTCTCTCTCTCTCTCTTCCTCTCTCTCCCTCCCACTCTATCCTGTCCTCGGGTGAGGATTAAAAAAATAAAAAATCAATAAAGAAAAAAAAGAAATATTTGTTAAATTCTTGTCTCACCATTCACATTTGTTCTTTTTAGGATGACGCTCTTACATCAGGTTGCACGAGTCTGGAGAACAGATGGGTTGAACAGTTGCGTTTATAAATTACTGTCTGTGGATTATAATCCTTTATACATCAACATCACAGTGGATTTCTGGTCTAGCCCCTGACTCTGGATTGTCTGGTGAAGTTCAGAAGAACTGAATATTTGATGGCAATAATTTTGACCTACGGACTTCCCCTAGTAGCACACATTAAGAACTTGTTGCAGCTAATTATGGAGCTGAATTTTTCATTTTTATATTTTCTTAGCAGAGCCCCTGGTAAGAGGGAATATAACACAATTGTAACAAAACAGCTTTCTTCGTTGTTTTGATCATGAAGGTTAAAATACTGTAATACAGATACTTGAAGAACTAAGTATAAAAGAAAGACTCAAAAGATATCATGCAGGCTACGTGAGAATGTCGACTGAAGATTTAAGTTTGAAGTGGTACCTTGTGGCATTAAAAAGGCCGCAGGAAATAAGATTGCTGAATGTCCCAGAGAATTGGAATTCCTCTTGATGGAGGGAGAACGGTACGAAGATGTACTTCTGTTGCTCACTTACCCTGCGTGGTCATCTGTGAAGAGGCAGCCATGGTACTGTGTAGGTGGCACACCTGCCGCTTACACCTTCCAGTGAGACCCCAGCAGAAAACATTATCTACTAGTTTTTAAGATCATTTTTGTAAAATGATTTTGTACCTGTAGGATATGAATTAGCAGTTTACAAATTATATGTGAACGAATAATACATCGAAAATACCTCTGCAATAAAAATATAAAAAAGTTTTGGGTGCTCAGTCTTGTTTTTTACTGTTGTGTGAAGCCTGCAGATGTGTTTATTTCAGTATCCATAATCCTAAACAGCTTTAAAACAAAACAAAGGAGACCACGCCCTCCCACCCCCTCTCTCCTTCATTTTCCAGCCCTCTCCTGTTCTTCCTGTATACAGCCACCTTGTCTAAGCAGCTCCAGGCCTGTGGCAGGTGCCTCTGCGTCTAGTTTCCTGGGCCACATCGTGGCTTTGTTCTCTTCACTGTCTTGTGCCTGTTCCTTTCTCACCGTCAATATCGGGTACAGCAGAACCGGCCTAAGGAGCACACATGGTTGGTTATAGGACAGGAAGGGGTGGACCCAAGGGTTTGGAAAGCCTTTCATTTGGCCGGAAGGTGGGATCATAACAGTGACTTGAGCAGTGGCAGTGATTTGGGAGAGAAGCCACCTGTACTGTGAGCTGCCTGGGGAGGGGGTGGGGATGTGGGAGGATAATCTAAGGAACGTAATAGGAGACGGATACTGAGTCACCAGGAAAGAAGAATTTCACTTGCAAAAGTGAATGGACACTAAATAATGTAGAGGTGGATGTTTTTTAGCAGGCTTGATGCACCTGTGCCTCAGGGTCTCTCCATCCATCATTATTACATACCACTTTGTTACACTTTATTCATTTATTTATTTTTTTTATCCTCACCCGAGGACATTTTTCCATTTTTTGTTCAAATAGAGTGGGAGGGAGAGAGAGGGAAACATTGACATGAAAGGGACACGTCAAGTGGCTGCCTCCCGCACAACCCAACCAGGACCAGGGACAAACTGCAACCGAAGTACGAGCCCTTAGCGGGAACCAAACCTGGGTCTCTCTGGATCGCAGGCTGACGCTCTAACCCTGAGCCAAACTGGCCAGGGCACACTTTATTACACTTAAGCATGAATGAGTGCCACTCAAAGAGTGAAAATATATTCTTCCCAAACAGGGAGAGGGAGGGAATGGGGCTCCCAAGAAAGAGAGCAGTCACCACCCAAGAGAGGAAGGAGAATTTTAAAGGAAAACATGTTGTAGACATGACCTGTTTACCTAGGGCTGCCCTGGTTTACCTTTAACTCAGTGGGGACAAGTAAACATTGTTTTTTTTTCTTCGCACAGAAAGAATGATGGTTTTCGTATTTCTCCCCTCTTGCTCCTTTCATTCTTTTCTGCAGAATCATTTTTTAGCATTCTGTTCCAATTTCATTAATTAAAATAACATACAGACTGAACTATTGTAATGGCCAACAGCCCATCCAGGGGTCCCCAGGTTGGAGGCTGTGGGTCATGGTTGAGGAGGGTGAAGCAAGAGAATGATGTGCAAAGAATGTGAGGATCCGTATTTGAGAACTCCAGTTCTCATTCCGTGGGAACGGAATACAGTTACTGCTCTGTGCAAACTCCCTGTGCATTTTCAGCTATGAACAAGGCATCCGCATTAAAAACATTTTTTTTCTTTATTGATATTAGAGAGAGAGAGAAACATCGATGAGAGAGAACATAGACTGCCTCCTCCTGCATGCCCCCCACTGGGGATCAGGCCCACACCTGGGCATGTGCCCTGACTGGGAATGGAACTGGTGATCTCTTGGTGCATGGGTCGACACTCAAACACTGAGCCACACCGGCCAGGCCACTTGCAATTTTAAAAAATTTTATTAATCACTGTAGTATGCCTATTACTATTCTTCAGATAATTCTTTCAACCAAGATAATGTACAAGTCATTTAAATGACACATGAAACTTCTTGAGGTGGAAGATAAAATTTTAAGACCTTTATTTCCCCACTGTGCCCCTTGACCTGCACCGGGAGTCAAAGCCTAGGGACTGGCTGGAGGCCCCTGGCTGCTCTCCCGTCACGGCGGGGCAGGCAAGTCTGGTCTCCGAGAATCAGAGCTTTCCTCTAATTCCTGCCCTGTGTATTCTTCATTGTCAACTGCCACTAAGAGGCCAAGTCTTTTGCGTATTGTAGATATCCCTGCCATACTGCTAAGGGTATAGTCTGGACATCACAGTACTCAGCTTGAAGACTACTTGAAAGTTTTTACTGTTTGTTTTTTCTTCTCACATTACCACCCATAGCACTCTATGGTTGTTATGTTTTTACATGTACTCTGTTGATCCTGTTGAATCTTGAGATAGGTAGGGTAGACGAGGTGTGAGGTCACTAACAGGCGGGGGACCGGCCCGAAGTCCCACAGCTAGTCAGTGGCAGACTCAGGACGCAGACTCAGGACGCAGACCCAGGTCTCCTGACCACACGATCATGATACAGTATTTCCTTCCTCTGGGCTTCTCTCATTCTTTGAGGTAGTTTTCCCGAATCTGTATCTCTGATCTCGCTCCTAGAGAAGGTTGGTATCGTCTGGGTCCTAAGAGTACGTTCCATTCTCATTTGTTCTCTTTGAACTTTTCCCCAGACATTCTCTCTGTTTCTCGTATTTTTTTTTTTTTTTTTGCCCTTAGCACCCTCCCTTCCACTCATGCTTCTGTCAGACAGGTTTCCTGGAGGTCCCCAAATGTTCTGTGAGTGGACCCTTGGGCGAGAGGAGACATTTTCTGCCAGACTCGAAACATCCACTTCCCCAAGTCCTATTCATACATGGTCCCTGTCAAAAGGCATTAACATGTCCCATGAGATGGAAATTTCATAATTTCTTTTTTGCCAATCACATTACAAATCTTATTTTAAAGTCTATTCCTTAGTACCTTATATATTTACGCTATTGCCTCCTTGATTGGCTCTAGGTACCCTAAAGACCATCTTGTACCTGCTGAGAGGGCCTGATAGGTCTCGAAAGTATTCACCAAGATGTGGCCCAGGAAGGCTGCACCAGCAAAGGCTCCTTGCTCCACTGACAGCTGTTGAAGTTGAAAATGCAAATAAAATAGAACCTTGTGTGCATGTGGTGTATGTGTGTGTGTGTGTGTGTGTGTGTGTGATTTTGGACCTTGGGGGAGAGGTTGGTGAAGGGTGGGGCATAACAATAATTGAATGCTTGCTCCTTCTTAGTCAGTTTCCCTGTGTTTTTTATTTTAACTTTCTGATACCCCTGTAGGTATATACATACTGCAAAGAGAAAACAGATTCAAGTGAACTAACTTCCCAAAGTTGGTAACAGGAAGAGATAAGACTTGAATCCAGGTCTCTCTTGACTCCAATATCTCCACCGCCACCCCCCCACTCCCACCCCTCGAATATCACATTGTCAGGAGATTGTGAGATTTTTCTGTGAAGGCAGCATGGGCAGAGATCTCATTCACAGAGCCCTGGCCGAGTGACTCAGTTGGTTGGAGCTTTGTCCCATACACCAAAAGGTTGTGGGTTTGATCCCTGGTTAGGGCACATGCATGGGTTGGGGGTTCGGTCCCCAGTCAGGGTGTGTGCAATAGGCAAACAATTGATGTTTCTCTCTCTTCCCCTTTCTCTAAAAATCAATAAAAACATATCCTCGTGTGAGGATTTAAATAATCCTACACAGAACTTGAGATGTATCTATTAAAATGCATTATCTTGATGACCTTAGTACATTTTTCCACTATATAGTAGGAGTTTTGCTGAAAAGCTATTACTCATAACTATTGTTTGAGGGCCAGTTAATTTGGACCAATGTATTTGGTCATTAAACTTATTGCAATAAATTGAAGCAAGATGCCATTAGTTGGCATGTTCCCAGTGATTATGGGCCAAGCAGAGTTCTTCAGACCAGATTTATGTTATGACTCCCTGTTGGTATCTCGTACAGGCTGCTAGCCATTCTAACACGCACTTTGCATATCTGGCCAAATCCTTCCAGTTCCGTGTGAGGATAGACATGTTTTCCTGAAGCAGTTTCTGAGAGGCCAAGTGACTTGCCAAAGTCCTGCAGGGCTGGGATTCAGAGCCAGGTATTTGACTCCAAAGTTTATGTTCTTAACCACTTCATGGTAACACAACAAATACACAAAGAGCCCTGGCCAGTTTGGCTCAACTGTTAGAGCATCGGCCTGCAGACCAAAGAGTCGCGGATTTGATTCTGGCCAAGGGCACGTACCTTGGTTGCGGTTTGTCCCTGGCCCTGGTCAGGGTTGTGTGGGTGGCAACCAGTCGATGTGTCCCTCTCACATCGATGGTTCTCGCTCTCTCTCTCCCTCTCTTTCCCCACCTCCCACTCTATCTGAAGATATTTGAAAAAAATATTCTCGGGTGAGGATTAAAAAAACAAAAACCACAAAGATAGAAAATAAGAATGGGTAACTGGAAGGTGTCATGTCCATCAACCAAACACCCACAGGAACACACCTGCAGATAAGTAAATTGGGATTATGACTCATCACAGTGAGTGAGAACACACCATGGGAACAGTGGAGTATCTCAGGGGAAGGGAGTTAGAAAGAACCTATGAGAGCATTGGGGCTTGGGTTGGGTCATTTGGGGAGGGTCTGAGGAAGCAAGGTGTGTTCCATATGGGATACTGTCCGAACTGTGCATCTCGACATATTTTATCCATAGGGAGGGACTAGCAGGAAAATAGAGCTGAAGTAGGTAAACCCGTAGTAGCCACTCATTTTAGCCAAGAAAGGCTGTGTGGCATTTTGTGGGTGGCACCGTGACCTTGTGTTTGTCTGTGCTTAGAATTGTGAAGTGGCATTTCTTTGCCTCATTTATGCTGGTCACAGAGTAACCTTATCCAAGGTTGCGATTCTGTGGGAATGCTTACGTCCAATAGGAGAAGAGCACGTCCTGGTTGTGGGTGCCAGGCTGGCTCCTGAATGTCAGGGGCTTCTCCTTTTGTTCTTCTTTTTTTTTTAATCCTCACCCGAGAATATTTTTACATTTATCTTCAGACAGAGTGGGGGGTGGGTGGGGGGAAGAGAGAGAGACAGAGAAACATTGATGTGAGAGAGACACATTGATTGGTTGCCACCCGCACGACCCCAACTGGTGCTGGGGATGAACTGCAACACAGGTATGTGCCCTTGGCTGGAATCGAACCTGGGACTCTATGGTCCGCAGGCCGATGCTCTAACCGCTGAGCCAAACCAGCCAGGGCTTTTATTTTTTTATTTTTCAAGAGGAACTCAGAGTGGAGGCCACTGGAAAGTAGGCCATGATGGTGCCATTTCTCTTTAACCCCAGAATTTCTCTATTTGTCTCCTTTAAGTGTGTGTGTGTGTGTGTGTGTTGGGAGTTGGTGGGGGGCTGGGGAAAGGGAAGGTTAGAGAAGGATCTGGGAACTATGAATTTCTCAGGAATGCTGCCTTTTTCCAGGATTTTTTTTTTTTCCTCATTGAATGTGGCCAATTAAATCTTATAAAAAGTCACACATAAAAGCAAACTCAATGGCTTACAACTAGCCTCCTCTGGGTTTCTTCTTTGACTTAGTCTCATGTATAGGACGTGATAAGGATCTGGGTGAGGTGAAGCAGGGAGGAGAAACTAGAGGAAATACTAGATACAGAAGGAGAAAGGAAATTGTTCAGTCAATAGAAATGAGAAACCAGTTCAGTTTCCAATTCCTCAACCACAGCCCAGCTTGTCGATCAGATTGGTTGGGGTTGGAATAGAAAAGAGAGATTAGATTTCCAAATTCACATGACTATTATTATTCCTTCTTTTCTTTATTGGCATCCTGAGAATACCTGATCTGCTGCTTAGAATAGAAGTTCTTATTTATTCCCGCTGATGGGGAAAAAAGGCTGCAGAGCTGATGTTCTGAGCAGCCGGCTTTTTAACGTTCAGCATCGACAGCCTGCCAGGAGCCTCGGTAGCAAGCTGGGGAGGAACTGGCCGACCCAGAGCGTAGACCCGCTGGAGTTGCAGTCAGGGAACACCTACCCCAGAGTTAGTCTGACACATTTCCAGTGTTAGGTAACAATTTTTCTTTGCCCACCTGGTAAGCAGGTGGACAGACTGTTGGAGAAGTGGGAAGTTTCATAAGTTGGCTTTGTCTGGGTGTGCCTCCAGCCCAGCAACCTGCCAGCAGCCAGCTGTCCTGCTCTCTTCCCCTCCCTGGTCTGGGCAGCTGGCGGTGTCTTTGTTGAGGCTGGGCCTGGGCTGCACTCTGAACAGTGGTCTGGGTCAGGTGCCTTCTAGTGCCAGGTGCCAGAAGGAAGAGAGGGAAGGCTGGGCTTCCAGGGAAGGCAGAGAGGGAATGGAAGTAGGAACTGGGCAGAGCGGAAGCCGCCCTGAGGTTAAACTGAAGACCCTATAGCAGGAACCACAAGTCCTGGGCAGACAAGAGGCGTCAGGGGCAGGGCAAGCTGCTGTGTCAGGGCATGAGCCTTCACCCCCAGGGGTGCAGCAGAGGCTGCCCTCTGCTCTGCTCGTCTCTCCTTGTACTGGGCTCAGCCTAACCCCCAGGAACCTGGTCAGAGTGTGGTACTGGGGTATCCCCTGTGACTGAGTCAGCTGGGAGTAGGACCCTGAAGTGACGGGTACATTTTCTTCTTAGGAGATAGTTGGAGATGCTTCCACTTCTTCCAAGCACAGGAGGAAAAGGACTCAAGGAGCAGTAGCTCCATTACCCCTCTGGGCTCACATGAGCAGGAGCAGGAAGTACAGGTGAGCGCAGAGGGTCTAACCCTTTGACTGTCAGCAGGGTGACTGGTGTCCCACAGGAAACTAGGCTTAGTGCATCGTGCGGCTCCTAAACTTGAATTCCCATGAGCTTAACATGTTGTTCGGTTGCAACACCCGTTGTGCGAGACTCAAACTGACCACTTAGGACACTGGTGAAACGAAGGAGAACGTATTTTAAGGCCCTCTTTATTTATGATAGATGTTGAGTTTATATGAACGTCCTTCAGGGCCCCAAATGGAAACAGTGCAGAAGAGAAATATTTTGACAGTAAACAAAAATCACCACAAATCACCTATCTGATAGCTGGCTTGCTTCTCCTCTAGTTGAAAGTGTTTCAGATGCGACTGATAAATATATATCACAGGCCCCTATTTTGTCCTAAAAAGTCCGCATACTTTTAACTAATGGGAGGTTGAGGTTACTAAACACATATCACTCTACAATGTCCGAGAGGAAATTTCAGCCATTGCTACAAGATCGGGCATTGTCCTGGAGAGTAAAAGGATCCCAAGGTGCCCTTAAAAGAATCACCTGAGCCCCCGAATGTGGGAGCCCCCCAGAACAAAAGGCAAAAGATGTATTTTGGCACCTTTTTCTTACATGGACTAAGAGGAATGAAAGCCTTTGAAGGTCTCTCAGAGAGACTTGGCTGGCTGTGACAAATAGATTCCCGGGAATGTTTTCACATCCTCAAATTAAAAATAAACAGGGGTGGGAGTAGTTACTACCTACTTTACGAATTCTCCCTCTCTTCCAGTCAATACAGATGCTGCAGAATCTGAGACCAGGGCGAAAACACAAGTGGTGAGAATCTCAGGAGCCCGAGAGCTTAAAGGAACTCCTTCCACTGACCCAGCAACCAGAGCGAGGACACAGGTTCCTGGGGGCACACGTTCCTGTGGGGACACACGTTCCTGTGGGGACACAGGTTCCTGGGGGGACACAGTTTCCTGGGGGCACATGTTCCTGTGGGGACACAGGTTCCTGTGGGGGCACACATTCCTGTGGGGACACAGGTTCCTGGGGGCACACATTCCTGTGGGGACACAGGTTCCTGGGGACACATGTTCCTGTGGGGGCATAGGTTCCTGTGGGGCACACGTTCCTGTGGGGACACAGGTTCCTGGGGGCACACGTTCCTGTGGGGACATAGGTTCCTGGGGACACAGGTTCCTAGGGGCACACATTCCTGTGGGGACACACATTCCTGTGGGGACACAGGTTCCTGGGGACACACGTTCCTGTGGGGAGACAGGTTCCTGTGGGGGCACACATTCCTGTGGGGACACAGGTTCCTGGGGACACATGTTCCTGTGAGGACACAGGTTCCTGGGGACACAGGTTCCTGGGGACACACATTCCTGTGGGGGCACACGTTCCTAGGAGCACACATTACTGTGGGTACACACATTCCTGTGGGGACACAGGTTCCTGGGGACACACATTCCTGTGGGGACACAGGTTCCTGGGGACACACATTCCTGTAGGGACACAGGTTCCTGTGGGGACACATCTTCCTGGGGGCACACGTGGACCAGCAGGAGACAGCAGTTCCAGCACCAATTCCAGAGCCCCCGGGGTAAAGCAGACCGTGGTGACACTGTACTCTTAATATTCAATTCTGCTCCAGTAGAACATGGTACCCAGGAGAACCCAAAACTAGAATATAAAAGAATAAAAACAAAACAAAACAAAATAATAACAAATTGGTTTAGGAACATCTTATACATAGGGGGGAATGATGATAGGTTCCTTCAGGCTTTGAGACACTGGATTTTTAAGGGCGATATTCTCTTAGGAAACATCGGTTACTTCTGTGTTAAACTAGCCCCCATGCCCTGGGAAATTCTTCCTTCTTCCCACCAGGGCTTGTTACCCTCTAGTGTATTCCTACGTCTAGTAAGTATTGTTTTAGAATAGAGTTTCTTGCTTCTGGTAGGAACATCTTTTCCCAGGGGACTCCCTCTTTTCCCCAAAATGCTGTGACAGAAACAGCTGCCCCCACGTACTCAAGACATTTGCCTCGGGCAAGGACTAGAATACCTGGGTTCTGTGGCAGATGTGCCACTCACTCCCTGTATTCGTAAAAGTCATCTAGTAACATCTTCATCAATCCCAGTGTGAGAAGACTGAATGAGATAATGAAGTGATCATAATAGTGTCTAATATTTATTGATAAATTACTATATACCAGGCACTGTTCTAATTGCTACATGTGTAACTCAATTTAATACTTCCAAAAACAAGTAACTTACCCAGAGTCACAGAGCTGGTAGGTGGTAAGGCTGGGGTTCAAGCTCAGGCAGTCAGCTTCAGAGTTGACCTGTCTGACCACTGTGGGAGCCTCTGTCAGCAGCAGTGAACTGGGCATGCCTGAGAGCTCTTCTCAAGCACGGTTCTGAAGAACCCTGCTGAATTTCTCCAGTTCTCCTACTACAGGAGTCTGGCTACCTACCTAGTTACTGTTGTGGGGATTTAATGTTAAAAGTATTTAACATGATGCCTTGTCTATAACAAGCCTTCAATAGATCCTGTTCCCTTTCCTATTTTGAACTTCAAGGGGACTCACACAATCCAGAGCCCAGCCCACGTGATGCTTGCAGAAACATCAAACGTTTCAGCTGCTCTGGAGTTCTAAGATCCTCAAAAGTCTTTAAACATTAGCCCATATAGTTCCAGCTAACATGGTACAGTAGAAACTTGCCTATAACATTTTTCATTCACTCAACAGGTTTCAAGCATGTCCTTTTTGCTCTGTTAGGCAATGAGGTTATAAAAGGCAGCTGGACCCTGGCCAATTTGGCTCAGCGGTTAGAGCGTCGGCCTGTGGTCGAGAGAGACCCGGGTTCGGTTCCCGCTAAGGGCGCGTTAGTCCCCGGCCCTGGTTGGTTGTGTGGGTGGCAGCCACTCAATGTGTCCCTTTCACGTCGATGTTTCTCTCTCTCTCTCTCTCTCCCCCTCCCTCCCTCCCTCCCACTCTATCTGAACAAAAAATGGAAAAATGTCCTCGGGTGAGAATAAAAAAAAAAAAAAAAAAAAGGCAGCTGGTTGCCAGGCTTTGGGCAGAGACAAACACCTCACAGAGGAGCAGGTCCCAGCTAGAGGTGTGTGCAGGGTGTTGTGGAGGCTCCCAACAGAGTGGATGGAGGGATCACAGAGGAATTCTCAAAGGAGCTGACTTTCTCTTCCTGCTTCACTCAGTTTCTCACCCCAAACCCAGCCTTTCTTAAAGTGCGGTTCACCAAACACCTGCGGGGCCCTTGTAGGGGTCCATGATGCAAGACTCTTTGCATAACAATATCAAGACTTCATGTGTTGCTTTCACATTTACAGGGCCGGTGCAAAGCAGGGGAAGTAACTGCTGGCCCCTTAGCTGGATTCAAGGCAGAGGCACTAAGCTGTGTTACTTGTCTTTTCATTCTCACTGCTACACGCTTGCAGAAAGAAACGGCCAGTTTTACTTGAGCTTGTCCTCGATGAAGCAGTGAGAATGACTAATTATATGAAAGGTGTACCTTTGAGTACACATCTTTTTAACTCTCTGTGACAGAAAGGAAGTATAAAGCAGTTTTGTTGCAAACTCAAATAGGATGGCTGTCTTGAGGAAAAGCACTTGGGTAATTGTTCGAGCTGTGCACTGATTTGGTTGTTTTTTTCATGGAACACCGTTCTTAAAAAAAAAAAAATGACCAACAGACAAGCTATGGTTATTCCGAGTTGGGTGTTTGGCAGACATTTTCTGAAAAAGGTACTAAGCGAGTCTGTCACTTCGAGGATAAAAACTGACAATATGTGTTGCCAGTGATAAATGTGAGCTTTCAACAAAAATCATAAAACTTGTATTTGTCACCAAGAGCTTGATAGCACCCCAAATGCTTAAGTTCTTTTCCAACATGGCAATGTCAACGAATGTGATTCCTTGGGCTTGCATAAAGACACTGACCAACAATTGGAAGATCTACATAATACAGAGAACCAATATTTCCCCAGATAGCCAATGTGTGATGTTATGGAACTGTGCACGGGTAAAGGATTTATGCCAAGTGCAAGACAAACCGATATAATGTGTTCTAATGTAACTGTCTGAAAAGTTTGTTGACATAGTTTTAGATTCCGTATTGCAATTAACTCTTAAGAATACTACTTGTCAGGTTTTATGTAATACCAAAGAATAGTCACACCTATCTTTAAGTAAGGCTATTGAAACAATCCTGTTTTTTTTTTTCCAACTATATGTCTGTGAGAATGGATTTTCTTCAAATCCTTCAACTGAAGCAACATATTAGAACAGATTGACTGAGAAAACAAATGTGAGAATCCAGCCGTCTGCCATTAAGCCACACATTAAAGAAAGAGGCTTGTAAAACAATGCCACTGTTCTCACTTTTTTGGTTTGTTTGGGAACACAATCATTTTTCTATAAAAATGTTATTAATGATAACATGCAATGGGTTTATAATTATTATTTTAAGTGAATTAGTAAGTGTTTTGACATTTCTGTGCTACTTTCCAATGATGTAAGTATCAATCGAGATAACCTCCATAGCCAAAAATTCTTTGAAGACCTCAATTATTTCTGAGAGAGTAAAGGGGTCCTGAAACTAAAAGTTTAGGACTACTTCCTGAATGCAGTGGCTCTTAATCCTGACAGCAAAGTAGAATCATCTGGGAAAAATTTTTAAATGCCCGGGCCCTGCCTTTAGATCAACTGAATTAGAATCTCAGAGGTTGGGGTCCAGACATGCTTTGTTTTTTAAGCTCCCCCAGGAGGTTTTCATAGGCAGCCAGGGCTGAGAACACTGCTCCGCCCTCTTGCTATATCTGCATCCAGTAACATGGGCAGCAGGACAGGTGAGATGGGCCAAGGTCGCTCTTTGGAAGGAGTGAGGCAGATTAGCGTCTGATGGGGGCCATCTAGTTGGACGGCAGTCTGATATCTCACTATAATAAATTAATGAGATTGGGAGACCAGGAAGAGCAGGCGAGTGCATCCCAATCACCCAGAAGAAGGTTCTATTTAACAGGATGCATCCTTTCCCTGATAGGGAAAGGTAACTCCCTACCTCCCAAGGGACTCCACTGTCCTTGCTCAGGTGCCAGCAGCTTCCTGACCAGCCCTCAGGCCGAGGCATTGTTTTCAGACAGTCTAGTGAGGTTGGGCGTAATCTCCAAGTCTCTCTTTATCATTGTCCTCTCAGAATAAAGCATGTGCCAGGAAATACTCACAGTCCAGCAGAGAATGGCAAATCCAAACCAGGCAACGCCCCAGGCGTGTCGGTCCATTGGTCCAGAGATCAGGTCATAGCAGCCCTGCAGGAGTGGGGATTCCACACGGGTGTGAGAGGAACCAGAAAGAAAGAGTAAGAGATGGGTGGGAAGCAGACTGTTCTGTGAATCACAGTCCAGTTTAAAATAACCAAGCTATTTCCACATCCCATGGACAGCCAGTTATTGACAGTGCGTTGCCCAGGGAATAGAAATACCGTAATCTTGTTGAAAAATTCCTCCATATTACATTTATTTGTGTCTGTATCATTCAATGTAAACAACAAAGGTCTTGCTATTTTATTTTATTTTTTATTTTTTTAAATGCATTTATTTTTATTTATTTATTTATTTATTTATTTATTTATTTATTTATTTAATCCTCACCCGAGGACATTTTTCCATCTTTTGTACAGACAGAGTGGGAGGGAGAGAGAGGAAGAGAGAGAGAGGGAAACATCGATGTGAAAGGGACACATCGAGTGGCTGCCACCCGCACGACCAACCAGGGCCGGGGACAAACTGCAACCAAGGTACATGCCCTTAGCGGGAACCGAACCCGGGTCTCTCCGGACCGCAGGCGGACGCTCTAACCGCTGAGCCAAACTGGCCAGGGCGCTATTTTATTTTTTATAATTACTTCCAATTAAAGCTTTTTCTTAAAAAAAAAAAAATGCTGCCATTTTAGCCTAACATTTTTTTTCTTCATATTGGATATGTAGGTAATGTATTCTTAATAAAATTTGAATTTTTTTCTTTTCTAAAGATTCTATTGCTGATTTGTTTGAGAGCAGAGTTACTTTTTGATTTGTTAGTTTTTGTTTTATTTAAAAAATGGTTTTTTTCCTTTATTGATTTTAGAGAGAGGAAGTGATATGGAGAGAGAGAGAGAAACATCGATGACAGAGAACATTGATTGGCCGCCTCCTGCACGCCCCCCACTGGGGACTGGGCCCACAACCTGGGCATGTGCCTTGACCGGAAATCGAACCAGTGACTTCTTGGTGCAGGGTCAACGCTCAATCACTGAGCCACACTGGCTGGACAATTTGTTTGTTTTTAAATAAAAGTGTTTCTGGTCTATGAAAACCAGAGAGTATTTTTCTTTTAATCATTAAAGGAACCCCTATACCATATTTTCTAAATTTTCATTGGACATCATATTTCAATGTATGTTTTGGTTCTAGTAAGACCTTGAAGAGCCTTATTGTGTGCGCAAAAGTGTGATTCATTTTTTTTAACTCATCAAATTATTCCTTCATACATGTCATAATCCAGTAAGTTTTTACACATGGCCACTCTGTTCTAGTCACTGTGCAAAGTGCTGGAGTGTTACACATGTGTAGGGCTAGACCTGCTGTCTGCATGACCTCCACTAAAGCCCTGGGGATGACAGGGAATGCCTAGGAAATGCCAAGAACAGGCTGGTTCCCTGAACCACAGGGGCTCACAGGAAAGTGTCTTCCAAAGACTGACCTTGACGTTTAGGCCTTACTCAGTGGCTATAGGTGGCCACTTGAGGTTCAATCCTTCCTGAACCTGCCCCAGTCCCTTGTTAACCCACTGGCATGCCCTGCCTTTGCTATGCCTTGATTTCTCCCCAATTTATTCTTCTCCATCTATGTCACAGCATCTCCATTTACCTAGGTGCTCAAATAAAAAATCTTGAAATTACCCTGAACTGTTTTTCTCTTATTTGACATCAACTATTTAAGCAAATCCTTTTGGGTCTACTTTTACAATAGGTCTTAAATCCAAACATGTATTACTTCCTGCTGCCAGCTTGGCTTACCATGCCCTACTCCAGGACTCCTACAACAGCCTTCTGACTGGCCCCCCTGGGGCCTGAGTGTACTCTTTGCACTCTCCAGTCTTCATACAGTGCCAGAGGGATCCTTGTAAAACATGAGTCAGATCACTTCACATCCCTGCTCAAAACCCTCCAGGGGCTTCCCATCACCCAGAGAGTGGAATCCTCACCCTTACAGTGGCCGCAGACACTGGATGATATGGCCCTGCCTCTCCCTGGACCCCAGCTTCACTGCCAAATCTGCTTCACTACAAAGCGAACGAGTCTGAGCCTCAGGGCTGCTTAATTGCAAGACCACTTCAAAGCCCTGTACCTAATTTTGTGTGCATATTCATTGTTTTTCCTAAGGAGGACCCCTCTCCACACATGTTATAAGCTTCAGTCCTCACAAACTCTAGATCCATCCTAGTCTTCCACTCTTCCTTCACTCATTCTGGCCTTGCCATACTGATGTCCTTGTTTCTCCAAAAAGCTAAGAATGCCCTTCCTTCAGGGCCTTTGTACTTGCTGCCTCCTTTGTTTAGGACTCTTCCCCTGGTACATACCCCTAGTGGGAACAGAACCCGGGACTCTATGGTCCGCAGGCCGATGGTCCAACCGCTGAGCCAAACCGGCCAGGGCTTCCCATCTTCTTTAAGGGAGGGTCTCATTTCCTCTTAATTCAGATCTCTGTGCAAATGTCATCTCAACAAAGCCTCTTCTGACAACCATGGAGACAAATACCCTTTTCTGCATCATTCTCTATATACTTATCCTGCTTTGTTTCTGCTCATGGCTTTCATCGCTACCTGAAATGTATCATGTATTTGTTTGGTGATTAGTTTATCATCTGTCTCTGATGCCAAAAGCTCTACGAGGGCATTTTTGAATCTCTAGAACAAGTGCCTGGCACAAAGTGGGCACCTGATAAACATTGATAGGATGAATGGAACATGCTAGAAGTAATGATTACAAGAGTATAATATGCGACATAGTTGATGATTCACAAATACTCCCATATCCATTACTCACTTCATCCTCCCGACAATCCTGGGAGGTGGTCATTTATCCAATAATATGTATAAGGCCCTGGGCTGGGCATTCAGCTATGACAAGTTAGAAATGAGTCTTGTCCTCATGAAGCTCACAAACAGAACCCAGGTTTTTTCACCTCTTCTCATTGAGTGCTTTTCCTCATTATAGTGGTGCTTAACTGGATCTTCCTTAGCCTTACCCATCATAATGTTCTTGAGTGTTGTGACCAAAGCTTGCACATTGCGTTTCTGGGGCAGATGGACCATGATGTGAGAATATGCATATCTGCATCTGACATGCTATGTAAAAGTCTGATTTCCACATTTATAACCACATTTATAATGACTTCCCTAATTTTGTTAGCATTCATTTGTTTCAGGTCTTGAAAAGCTACAGCATGGATGTGAAAAGGAGAGCCATTCACCTCTTAATTTGCCTACCCACCAAACATTTATCAATGTCTGCTTTGTGCCAGGTATTATGCTAAGTATTCAAGATATAGAACTAAATAATGCATGGGCCTCAAGGAGGCTAATAGGAAAAACAGACTTGCAAATAAATAATTATAATATAGTCCAAGGTGTCAACTGCAATAATCCAAGTGACGTATCTGAGGTACTGGGTTGGCCTGTTTTGCTTTGTGGAGAAGGATTGCTATAGGAGAACTAGCAGCCCCTCTTACTCAGAAGAATGGTGGTGTGTAAGACTCTGGGGAACAAGAGTGGGCAGAACTGCAAAGGGTTAATAGATAAAGAGATAATGTTGAGAGTGAAGAATGAATGAGATTGAGAAAGTAGGAACACAGGGAGTCAGGGACAGAGGAATTTGAGGATTCAGGAATTGGTTGGGGGGTAGGGATGAGTGATTACGAGTTTGTAGTTGTAGTGTAGCTGGTGGGTAGTGCAGGTGGAAATGTTAAGGTGAGGCCAAGGAACTGCAAGGGAGGGTGCTAGAAGTGTTGTTATGACAGGTGTGAAATGTAACATTGTTGCTGTGAGATAAAGTGATTATCTGAAGGTAAACATCCTTTATGTCCCTTTCAAAGAGATGATAGATACAGTTTGTATGCAATTACAAACCAATCAAGATATGTCTGTGTGGGCCAGTTCCAGGGTTGAAATACTGAAAGCATTTTATGACTCCTAAGTGTGGTAATTATATTGTGCATCATGATTATGGGCAATACATTTAATTTTTATAGCAGTCTGAATATATCTGACTAAAATGACTCTAAAACAATGTTGTTGAAAAGCTAACTGAGGGTTGATTTGAACAACTCTGCAAAATAATTGTATCATGTTCTTTTCTGGATGAATACAACCAATCCAAGTCCAAGTGCCCTTCAGCATATGGCCGGTTGATCAGCATTGCTGTGTCCTTCGTTCTGAAATTGCGCTTTGCATTATTTACTCCAAGACTAAACAGTCTGGCATTTCTCAATTATTTAACAAACTGGCACACACTAGCTTTCCTCACAGTGGTTACTTGCAAAGTAGTGCACAGCATTTTAGAGGCTGACCATATGTGTATGAGGATTCTCTTCAGGGCTTTTGGGGAGTATTTCCAAGTTCTTTCTTGGCTTAGAATCTGGGCTCTGGAGCCAGACTACTAGGGTCTGAATCCTGACTCTACCATTTACTAGCTGCATTACCTTGGGCAAGGTACTTATTGGATTCTCTGTATTTCAGTTCCTCATTTGTAAAATAGGGATCATACTGGCACCTACCTGTGCTCATTACATGAGTTAATAGATATATGGCACTTGAAACAGTGTCTGGCTTTTAGTTAAGTACTCAGTAAATGTTAGTTTCCATCATCATTGTATCATCCTCATTAGGCTGGAGACACTTTTTCAAAAGCCATCTGTATATAAATTACTTTCTACCCAAATCATTATTCTAATGTTTTATTAAGACTATTCTACATGATTACTGAGTAAGGAATGTAGATATATAATTACGGCATTTACCCTCAGCAATCCCCATTGCTTTACAATGGGCAGATCATTCCTTCCAATTTACACTTTGCAAAAACAGAGCGAACCTTTGCCTAATGTAAATAGGTTTTGAGACACCAATTCTATGCATCGTACAAATCGCTTTCATTTAAACAAAGTTGGATTTTGCTATTGCACTTCTCATGTTCTGTTCATTTTATTAAAATGTAAAATTTCCCAGATCAGCCCTAGATTAGCATTCACATTTTGCTAACAAAGAAGAAAACAGTTAACATAAGGTTTAGGAAGGAGGACGCAGAATTCCTTACCCAGAGACTAGTGCCTCCAGTTAGCCAGTATGTTCCCACGAAGAGCAGAAGAAACTTGTGGCTGGTTTTAGGGGGCGAGGACTCACCTGACTGTGGTAATAACCAGGCACTCCTAGTTTGCAGGCATCCAGGTTGAGAGGTTCCTTCAGCTTGTTCATGACACAGCACTGACGAGGCCAGGGATAGTCTGCATCGTTGTTCTCAGTCCGGAAGGCAGAAGTGTATTTCTGCCAGTCTGACGGGCCGTTCACACCACAGCAATGGTCCTGTTGGCACATGAGGGAGACAAAATTCTCGTCCATGGTCCTTGTTGGAACCGTCAATGTAGCAACTGAGATCTTACAGAGAATAAAAGTATGAAAGGTGGTCCATACTTTATGTTTACTGAAAATCCCCCAATGAGAGTTGAAGGTATTGATAACTTACATTTTAGAGTTTGTAAAATATTTTTACATTTATTTCTTTATTAGCCATGAATGAGCTCTGTAACCATTGACAAGTTATTTAAACTCTCTAAACCCCAATTTCCTTACTTGTAAAATTGGGATAAAGTACTTACCTCATAGAATTGTTGTGAGGATTAAATTAGTTAATACACTTAACATGGTTACTACTCTGCCTGGCCCATAGTATACCCTCCATAAATACTAATACTTAAAAAATACAATACTAACATTGTGATACAACAATGTGAGAGGGGCATAATTAGCCTCATGCTACATATGAGCAAATTGCGTATCCGAAAATTAAAATGTCTAGCGGTGAAGAAATTATGAGTAATTCTTTTTGTTTTATTTTTCTATATTTTAAACATTTTCTACAGTAAATATGTATTGCTTTTATAATGGGATAAAATAAACTGGAAAAAATAACCTAAACCTTGTGACACACAGCTGTGACTCAACGTAGCAAAGCTCTATTAACACGTAGCTACTACCCTTACACTCTGGACAGAATCGAGGCTGGAGGATAAAACACAACGCACATCCCTTTCCTTCCTTTGTATGAAATTTGCTAGAATGTTTCAAGGGAAGAAATTAAAACTACAGGCATCTCTCAACTTTTAGAATAAATACATTCAAGCAAACTTGATGATAAATCAACTATCGTTAAAGCATGACCTTTTTTTTTTTTTTTTTTTAACCACTGGACTATGGAAGATATCTTACCAAAGAAAATAACTATCCTGAGCATTTTGGGCCCAGATGGTTAAATCTGAGCTAAGCGTATTTCAGATTGGGTTTTAAAAAGTTGGTAAGTGGATTTTTCAAATGCATGAACATTCATATTTTCATTTGAAGAGTTTAATTCTTGCTAACAAGAGAGTGATGGAAAGTGAAAAGGTGGTCAATGAATTGAAGGTCCAGATAGGGTAAAAACAAGTTACTGAAATGGGACTATTAAAATTGAAAGAAATTATAGAAGACGGGGGTAAAGAGAGTTCAAAGAAGGGGTGGAGGCCATAGGGAGTTTGCCGATGACGACTGTGGTATGTTGGTGTTGCGGTGGGATTAGGGTGGGGGGTTTGGAGGCAGTGTTAGAGTTGGGTTATTTAGGGGAGAAGACTTTATATACATACAGCAATAGAGAGGTGGTAACAGCTATTCTGAAAGACTTGAACTTTTGATGGTATTTGAGGTAAAATAGACTATAAGGTGTAATTGTCAGGTAGATACAACTGTGGTAGCTCACTGTCCTTAGAATCCAATAAAGAAAAACAACTTGTCTTTGAGCTGCCCTAATTAACAACCTCAGGGACAGCAAGATGAACAACGGGGAATGTTATAGACGACTTTAGCCCCATAAAAATTAACCAGAGTTTGACCTTCACTGGGAATTTGAAAAGCAACATCCTTCAGGAAAAGGGAGGACAGAAACGGCCCCAAGGCCAGAGTGTCCTGCATGCTCTGTAAAGAAACTGATAGGGAGAAACTGAAACTCCCTTTACCCCATAAAACTGTAACTGTTAAACATATGTGTATTGCACCTGACTAACCGCTGATATCCGTCTCGAATTTGTTAGTTTTTAAAATAAAAAAATGAACATAATAAAATGAACAGCAGGATAGATGTATGCTGACCCAGTTCACCCAGTTCCCTTTCGCCTCAGCTCCCTCCCACCTCCGTTCCCTCCTGCTTATCGCTAACTGCCTCCGCTTCTGTACACGCAGCTTGCTTGCTCTGCTAAACTCTTGAATGACCTCTGCCCTATATAAGCAACCCTCCCCTGAGCTCGGGGCTGCAGTTCTCCTCTGTGTAGGTTGGCTGCAGTCCCTGCGCAGGTAATAAAGCATCCCCCCAAACTAAAAATTGAGTCTAAGTGTGGTTGATCTCCTGGGTTACAAAACTAGGTGATCATCTCAAGTCAGAGCCCTTGGTCCTTAGCACGACTAGTCCATAGGAGGCGTGAAAAGATACTAAATAAGCAAAATAGACATAATTGCCACTAAGCAAAATAGACATAATTGCCACTTGAGTTCACTGTGAGGCAGAGGAGGCAACATTTTTGTTTTCATGTACGTGATGCCTGAGTTCTACGAGGCAGAGTGTGTGATTAATCTAAATTTCTTAAAAACGTCATTATCGCTCTACATGCAAGCTAATCATCATCAGGGCTTGAAATAAAATATAGATCTAGGGATCCCACTGAGTCATGTGTACAAATCCTGTCCCCTGCTGGTAAATAGCAGTGACAGATGAACTTGCCAAGTCAAGTCCCTTTGGGAAGGAAATCCCCTTAGAGGCTGTGGTCTCCAGCCTTTGCCTTCACTCCCTGGAGACCAGTCTAGGTACAAAATGGCATCTCCCCATGATCGCAGGCATTACCTGGAGCATAAGCCTGTCCCAGGTTTTGGTGACTCCGTTGTTTTTCCACTGGTCATCGTTGTTTGGAGGGCTGTTGTTTTGGTACCTCTCCAGCATCTGCTTCAGAAAGAGGTTGGGTGTGAACTACGGAGGAAGCAACACAAGAGGGAGAGTTAGCACATTAATCCCCGAAGTGTCTTGCTTGGCCCATTGCTGGGAGCACTGAACACTGTCTCCTAGAGTAAAACCGTGCTCAGAGGCACTGACTAGGGGAAGGGGGGTACGAGCTGCTCAGGGTGGCTGAAGTCCCCATGTAGGGAGAAATCCTCGTCTTCAAAGAAATCCCTGTGAGACTGGAGTGGACAGGCATTGCAGGATGGCTCAGGCTAGGGACTGGAGAAAAGAAGAGAAAGCAGGATGCTGAACTGAGAGGAAGTCTTAGATGTAGTGGATTGTTGATGGTCTTATTAGGGAGCAGTGGTCACGGCAAAGTGGGGAGAGCACAGGGGCTACCAGCCTGGGCCTGGGAGTCACAATGCCCGGACTCAGGATTCTTGCCGTCCACTTCAGCTGTGTAACCTTGGAAAAGTTACTTCCCTTGTTAGGTCTCATTTTTTTTCATCTATAAAATGACAATAGTGATAATACTCATGTCATAGGGTTACTATTGAAATTAAATAAAGTTATACAGTTATTAATGTGTATATTGGAGTGCCTGGCATGGAGTAAGGGCTTAATACATGTTAGCGACTTTCTCACTATAATGATGGTGACGGCTCATAGGATCGTGTTGCTCTGGGCTTTGGGGTTGTACTCACAAAGTCTCGTTGTGTTGCTGCGGTGATACACGACGCCACTTCAAAGCCATACACAATAAACATCAGAATAAAATACTGGAAGGGAAACACATTTTTTTTTTTTTTTTTTTAAAGGGCAACATTTACCTCCAAGGGAAGATTTTTTAAAACGAATAATTGTTTTTTGTTTTTTTTCTTTAGTACCGGGTTGGGCAAAAGCAGATTAATTCTACTACTACTAAATAATATAATAAGTAATAAATAAATAATACCAGAATAAACTCTGTTTCATGTACTCACAACCGTAAACCTACTTTTGCCCACCCCTGTATAGTCCTATAAATAGAATCATCCAATTATTCACATAGTTATTCAACAAACCTTCATTGATCAGTTGCTTGATGTAAGACTTGACGCTAATCAGCTCAATTCTCTCCTTTTCCTCAGAGAACAAATGACCACTGAATATAGAGCTGTCTCAGTCCAGCGCTCTGCATTTCTATTTTTAACTGAGTTAAAAAAATTCAAGAGGATGAACTGGCGTGCGCGCGTGTGTGTATGTGTGCGCGTGTGTGTATGTGCGCGCGCGCACGCACATGATGCCCTCACACCACTCTGCCTCTATTTATGTCTGAACAACAAATGACCCCTGAATCTGGACGATGACTATTTGCAAGAATTCTGTCTGTGCTCTCCTCAGCCTTGACATAGACCTGTGTTCTGGGAAAGGGTGCTTTAGTCCGTGTTGCCAGGGGAACACAGGAAAAACTGTCCCCCCTCCCCCCCAGCGCGAGGCTCGGAGAAAGGCTTGGGCTGGAGGGTGAACAGTAGGAGCACCTTCAGAGGCCTCCTAACATTTTCCTCCCTGTATTAGCTGCTGTCTTCTCTTTGTCAAGAGCTTGGCTGTCTCTTCTTAGAGAAGCCCAGAAACCCCTCGAGACCCTCTGGGAAGGAGGCGCAGGCTGCAGGTGTTTTCTCCGTCAGCCCCGGGGAGGGTGTCCTGCTCCCTCTCTTTGAGGGGCGTGGTGAAGAAGGTTCTCTCCCAGTTCAGTTCTCCTGGCCATGTTAGGCACACACGACTGGCCCAAAGTGAGACTGAGATGCAGCCGAAGCATGTCTCTAGGACATCTGCCCCCCATTGCCTTTCCCTGCATTCTTTTCCCACCCTGCAAAAGCGGGTGCTTTTGCTCTGGAACCAACTCACACCAAGGAACCAGAGAATGCAAATGGTCTGCATTCCCTGGATGCCAGGACGAGGTCAGAGCCCAGGAAGAGTGAACCAACAAGCACTTAAGTTGCTGGACGGGTTTCATAAAGGTGGAACTCAGGTCTGGCAGCATGGGGTAGGAGAGTTGTTTCGGGGTGGGGAGAGAGGGTGGGACCCCATCATAGTGTGAGAAACTACTGTCTCGAGCCTGGGGGCAGAGAGTAGAGGTCTGGACCCAACCCTCAAGGTTCTTAGCTCTGCTGATTTTTGCAAAGTATCTCAGATTTACTTCCTCTGCCAAAGAAGGGCATGCCTTGCTGCCTGTGGCTTGGGGCCAAATCATCTCTGTGGGTGCACAGAGTTAGAGCCTCCGCAGGCCGGCGGGAGCAGAGGCTGTACGTGGTGTTCATCAAGCTCCTCGAGGATCCTGAAAAGCGGAGTGAACGCACAGCATGGGAGGTGCAGGCTACCACACACAGTCATCGGCCTTGAGCTGAAAAATGTCTGAAAAGGATCATGCTTAAAAGTTCACGTATATCTGGTATTGCATATCTAATGTTAAATCTTGTACCCAGTTTTAATCTTATATTCTAGTTTTAATACTGACTAATATTACAGTAATATTTTTTTCCTTTGTTGATTTTAGAGAGAGAGGAAGAGAGAGGGAGAGAGAGATAGAAACATCCATGAGAGAGAACACTGATTGGCCGCCTCCTGCATGCCCCTCACTGGGGATCAGACCCACAACCTGGGCATGTGCCCTGACCGGGAATGGAACTGGTGACCTCTTGGTGCATGGGTTGATGCTCAACCACTGAGGCATACTGGCTGGGCTTACAATAATATTTTTGTCAAGAGAAAAAAGTCTAATTATGAAGTCTTCAGTCTGTCCTTTGGCCTATGTAACTCTTGGGTGTACCAGTTGGTACAGACATCAGTTTAGAAGCACAGGTCTGGAAAATACTCAACAGAGTCCCTCCCAGGGGTCCCCTTTTGGGTTCCCTTTACTGGAATCTTTTGCACCTGTAATACCAGAAGGCATTTTGCCCCCTCTTGGACAAGTTTCACTGCAGGAAGAGTTTTCCCCTCCTTCTCCCATCTCATCTGACACCCTCTGCTCCCTCTACCCCACTCAAAGCCAAGCACTGTGCTCAGGGAAGAAGAAACAATCTACCAACATCGATCCAGGAGACAACGGTAGAGAGATGTAAGGTCTTACCGCCAGAAGAAGTTTCCTGCTGGACTTCATGATGCCTACGATGCCTAGAATGGACAGGCAGAAGAGGCAGATGCCAACGAACATGCCAATCCAGGCTGCCCCATAGATGTCATCATTGTCGGTGGCTTCAAGCAATGGGTAGAGGCTGTGTTGGTCGGATACAAAGAAGATGCACTCTGCGGTCAGGGCGATGCCGCACATCTGGGGACAGAGGGGCTTCCGTCAGGCTGGTGGGAGGGCAGCATTGGGAAGGGATGGAGAAGTGGGGGCTGGGAGGTAAGAGAGACTGACTCTGCCCGCTGCCTAGGCTTTAGCAACTGACTCAAACTCTTCATTGCCAGGAAATCAAATAGCTCCTTCCAGCCTACTCACTGTTTGCATGCCTCCATCCTCGTGTTGCTCTAGTCCACTGCTATTTGGGAAACACCCAATTTCAAACCATTATAAAGGTCTTGGGGCATGAACCACTTTAACAATGTCTTCCTGTGTGAGGATAATCTCCCACCTCTACTCCCCATCATCCAAACTCCTGGGCTGTAATATTTAAACTGGTCCTGGTCATATTTATCAATGCCAGGGAGCCACTGAATGTTAGAGCTAGAAAGAACCTTGGCTTAGTTCTTCGGATGGCACTAAGAATTAGTGGGCTTCTCCCTTCCCGAGTACTCTCTGGAAGGAACACAAGGGTACGTGTTTGGCTTTCCCACCCCCTGTGTTTTATAGATGAGGGGTCTTGGCCCTGAAAGGTAAAGAGTTGTTCAGAGTTGCACGGAGTCAGAGGCAGGGCTGGGCCAAGAGCCAGGGTCCCTGACTCCCAGATACTCTCCCACCTCAATGTGCCCCACGGCTTGGTCTCTGAGCCACTCTCACTCCCGGAGTGCCTCAGTGTGACGAGAACAAGAAGGTGCAAACATCTGACCCCAATAACCTTCAAGGCAGAGTCCCGTTAAATTAAAATAGGTGAAATAAGAAAGAAACACCAAAGCATGTGTGTGCTGAGAGTGTTTGGACAGTGACCATGACCGACATGGTTCCTTTTAGATTCCTGTGCTTTAAACTTAGGAAGGAAAAATCTATTTCTTAAACCTATTCTTTTGGTATATTACATAGCTATATATGACTATTTATAAGTTAAATTTGAGCTAGTATATTTTACTAACACATTTATTTGAAAAATATATGTTTTTAGCCCTGGCCAGTTTGGCTCAGAGGTTGGAGCGTCAGCTTGTGGACCAGAGAGTCCCAGGTTCGGTTCCCGCTAGGGGCACGTACCAAAACAAATAAAAGTAAAATAAAAAATATATGTTTTTATTGATTTTCTGGAGAGAGAAGAAGGGAGAGGGCAAGACAGACAGAAACACTAATGAAAGAGAAACATCAATTGGCTGTTTCTTGAACACCCCTGACTGGGATGGAGTCGGCAGCCCAGGCATGTGTCCTGACCAGGAATCAAACCAGCAACCTCCTGGTGGGTGGGATGATGCTCAACCAACTGAGTCACACAAGCTAGGACTCATTTCTTCAAATAAAGAAAAGATGTAGGGGACCAGTAATGATATCATTATTTTCCTTTAAATTTTCACTTTTGATTGATCTAAAATCATGATTACAGGAAGAGTAGAATTGCCTGAAAAATACTCATTACTTACACCAAAAATCACATTTCCAAGAATCAGCAGGCCCTGGAAGCAACGAACTGTGGAGTCATCTTTGGCCATCTTCAGGATTTCCCCCAAGCTGGAGGCACAGTTGAGAACATTACAACTTGAGCAGGTGACAAATGCCACAAGTTTCATAACATGACTAAGTCACATTTCAAGGCATCCCAACCAAAGTCATGAGGTCATTTAGCAATGGAGGATATTTGGTTACTAAACTCAATAGTCACCATAATTTATAAAGAAGAAAAAAAAGGCAAGCTTGCCAGAGTCTGTTTAGTGTTTTCAGAACACACAGCCTGCATACTTCTTTTTTTAAAATTTTTATTCTCACCCGAGGACATTTTTTTTTTTTTGCATTTATCTTCAGATAGAGCAGGAGGGAGAGAGGGGGGAAGAGAGAGAGAGAAACATCAGTGTGAGAGAGACACATTAATTGGTCGCCACCCACACGACCCCAACCGGGGCCAGGGACAAACTGCAACAGAGGTACATGCCTTAGCGGGAACCGAACCCGGGACCCTCTGGTCCATGGGCTGACACTCTAACCGCTGAGCCAAACCGACCAGGGCTAGCCCACATACTTCTGAGTGAAGACCTGAGGTCCTGCAAGTCAACAAGGACAGACCCAAGCTGGCGATGACTGGGTGGGGAAGAAGCTCACTGAGGGTCCTTGGGATAAAACCTGAAGGGTGAACTCATGGCCAGAGTTGGCAGTTGGTTCCCAGAGGGATTATAGGCAGCTGTTAAAAACCATTATGTTCAGAATACTTTGTTGTCTTCAAAAATAGTCAGCATTTGTCCTCTGGATCTATGAGTTTGTTTCTGTTTCATTTTGTTTGTTCATTTGTTTTTCAGATTCCACACAGAAGTGAAATCAGGGAACAAATTATTGGTTGCTAAAGGGGAGGGGAGGGGAGGGGAGGGATAAAAAAAGTGAAGGGGATTAAGAAGGGTAAATGTCCATTTATAGACTAATCCATGGGGATGTCACGTGCAGCATGGGAGAGGGAGTCAATGACATTGTAACAACTACGAGGAGTGGACTTATCATGGTGATCACTTTGTAAAGTACATTCATGTTGAATCACGATGCTGTACACCTGAAACTAATATCATACTGTATGTCAGTTATAATTAAAAATACATAGTTAAAATTGGCAAATAAAAGAGTGCACTGTTACAGAAGAGGAGAAGAGGAGGAGTGGGGAGAAAGACAGCCTGACATACTGAGCTCTTTCAACGGGCCACTCTCCTAGGTACTTTACATACACACATCTGAGTCTCATAACCCAATTAGGTAGAAACAGGAGAAAGGTAAAGAGGCTCATTTAGCAGATGAGGAAACTGAAGCTTTAATTCAGGGAAAATAAAGTTCCTGGAGTTTTACAACCAATGCGTGCAAGCGCTAGGCTGGAGATCTTGTCTGTGTGACTCCGGAGCCCAAGCTCCCAGAAATTGTGTACGAGGTTCAGTGCTTCAAATGGCACTAAAAATTACAGGGCTTCTCCCTCCCTGAGGACTCTCTGGAAGGAGCACAAGGGTAAGTGTTTGGCTTTTGCACTTGAGAAAAGCCATCCACACCTCTCAATGTTTTATTAGTTAAATTAATGAACTAATCACTTTGTGCATTCATGCGCTAAACAAAATTTTATTAAATGGTGCAACCTGTGTTTTGAGATATACAAAAAAATGTAAGGGAGATTTTTACAGTCTAGGATTTTATGTTCCAGTAGGGAAGCTGAGATCTGTTTCTAAATAGTTATAAAACATCTAGAAAGTACCTACGTAGTGTGGGGGTCTGAGGAGGGAGGATCTAAGCCTTGCAGAATATGTATGGTTTTTGATAAGTAGACTAGTGGTGGGTGGGTGTGGGAGGAAGGCGGGGTGGGTGATGGTCCAGGTAAAGGGAAGGTAGGGGACTAGAGCCCGGAAGAACTAGGAGCCTGTGGGATTGTAATTGAGCCAGTTTGGCTGAAATCTCCGTTTGTGTGGGGATCAGTGTTTGGCAAGTCTTTTATTTGACTCAGACCTTGCTAAATTTTAACTTCACTGTTACACTCTAATCTAAGTATTAACAACCTTCCAAGTAACCTTAAACGTCTCTAAATAGTTTCCCTTTCCTGTTCACCTGAGTAGCTGTGAGAACTGAAAGACTTAAAATGTATAAATGTTTTTGGTTCCAAATGGGGCACATAGTGGGCCCCCCATCAAGGTTTGCTGAATAATAGAAGCAGCTGGCCCGTTGTTACAAGGCTCCTAAGTGTAGTTTCTGCTTCGAAATGCCACTCATTTCTTTCTGCTTGGAAATGTCACTGATGCTTAGAAATGTCATTCGTTCCTTCCCGAGGTGGTTACACACGGGACTGTGGGGAGCCCGAGTGCCCTGAAGGAGTTAAAGCACAAACCCGCCCAAGGGGAGCCTTGCTCGTGGAGCTGGGTCAGCCGCATGGCAAAGTTCATTGCTGGTATGCACAGACGTTGGCCCTGACCAGCTGGGTTACTTGAGACACAAGTAAACACTGCGGAAGGTAGAAGTTCAGGCAATACAAGTATAGAGAGCAAAGGGCAAGTTTCTGGAGAGACCAAATTCAGCACCATTGTCAACCACTACCGATTATGCGCCCATGTGCCAGGTAGCAGCCTATTTGTGGTGGTGTGTTAGGCCTAAAGGACACAAAAAGCACAATTTGTTCTTTCAAGGGATTTAAAGTGTGATTACAGCACCACAGGTTCAACGCCCACATGGCTGCGCACAGTGTAAAGGGGGAAATAGGGCCGTGGAGAAAAGGGAGAAGGGTGGTCAGCCACCAGAGAGGGGTTTTATTGGTCCAAAAAGGAGCTACAGGGACCCCCCCAAAAGGGATTTAGCTCCAGTGAGCCAATTATGTCCCATAGCCCCCATATTGTCCCAAAGGCAACTCTGCCACACAGTTTTAAAAGGGGGAGAGACGGTTGAAGACTCTGGGGGAATTGTAAGTCAGACTCAGGGTGGAACATGCAGACAAGAGTGGGAGAAAAGAAGGAAAGGGGCAGACAGGGGCTTGGTCTGAGTGAAAACGAGAGTTGAGAGTGAATTGAGGAAATCTAGGCAAGCATGCGATAGGGAGGCCAGGAGGCAGCTGCTGTGGGTGGACGTACCTAAGGCAGGAATAGATGGATGGGTGAGATTTTCTGAAGTTGCGGATCACTAGATTTTTCTCCTTCTCCCTATGCGTCCTCTTCTCCTTCCGACCCTTGGCTTCAGTGGCACATAATAACTTAGAAAGTCACCCTTGTCATTTATAGTCACAAAATAATGATGGAAGCTGTCACTGAGCGAGCACCTGTGACGGTCTCAGCACATGCGTGGCACTTCCGTTCATCCTCTCAACAGACCTGAGAGAGGGTATTTTTACCAGAATCTGTATTGGCTCCCTATTGCTCCTGTAATAAACTACCACAAATGTAGTGGCTTACAACACAACCCTATTCAGCCATAAGAAAAGATGAGATACTGCCATTTGCAACAACATGGATGGACCTTGAGGATATGATGCTAAGTGAAATAAGTCAGTCGCAAAAAGCTAAGAGCTGTTTGATTGCACTCACATGTAGGATATAAACCTAAAACTCATAGACACAGATAACAGATGGTTATCAGAGGGAAGGTTACCAGAAAACAGATGGTTACCAGAGGGTAGTAAAGGGTAAAGGTGTTCAAACATATGGTGATGGATGATGATTTGACTTCGGGTGCTAAGTACACAATACAATATACAGATAATACAGAAATATACACTTCAAACCTATATGATCTCATTAACCAATGTCACCCCAGTAAATTTAGTTGAAAGAAAGAATGAGAGAGAGAAAGAAAGAGAAAGAAAGAAAGAAAGAAAGAAAGAAAGAAAGAAAGAAAGAAAGAAAGAAAGAAAGGAAGAAAGAAAGACATCCAAACCACATAAATCACATGAATGCATTCTCTGAAGGTACTGGAGGTCGAAGTGTGAAACGAGCCTCATGGGCTAAAATCCAGGTGTGAGCAGAGCTGCCCTATTCCTGGAAGGTCTGGGGAGACTGCTTTGCTGACATTTTGCAAATGAAGAAAAGGAGGCTTGAAGAGATTACTTTGCTCGGTCACATTGCTAGGTAATGCAAAAGCTGCGATTCAAACCCAGGTCTGCCAGGTTCCAGATCATTTACTTAGCACTCCACAGCTTACAAAGTCCTGTCCCATAGCTAATACTTTCAGTAGAAAAAGAAACAACTGGTTCACTTCCCTGCCAACCTGGGAGCAGAGGGAGCACACACACATTCCCTGCGTGGATGGTCCTGCCTTTGCAAAGGTCAGAAGCTCATGGGCCTCTCTTGATTCACTTCTCCCGGATCTTGTCTCCTTAGCTCCTGTTTGCACATTTCCCCAAACCCAGTGCTGCACCCACCCGTTCTGCCAGGACATCTGTCTAGGTGTATCCCAAACCTGCAGTTCTCTCACCCACTCCTGGGGACTGGAGTCCTTGGAAGTAAAAGGCACGGATGTGCAGGTCAATGTGAGAGTCCACATTTCCTGGCTTCTTCTTGATTGCTTGTGTTTAGACTTAGTGTCTAGAGAACATAAAACATGTGTCCCCTCTTTTTCCCCCAAATAGCCACAAATGTCAAGAAGGAGGGCACTTAGGCAGCCACGTCTAGGCTTCTGATGGTTGGTCACAGCTGTGGTGGTGGCCTTGTGGCTGTGGTCTCGTGGCGAACACACGGGACCTGGCAGCAGGATGCCAGGATGCAAGCCCCAGCCTGGCCCATCCTTACTGTGGAACTCTGGGCAATGCCACTCAGCGTCTGTGTCTACTTCTGCTTTATAAAAGGGGCGAAACACAACTTACATGATTGGATTGTTGTGACCATTAAGATAAAAGATACAGAGTGGTTGGCAAACACTAAAATTATTTCTAAACATAAGAAATTATAAATAATAACCAGAGGGATATTTAAGAAGGGCAGGGTATTAGGTTATGGTTTTGCTTTATGTACCAGTGACCCCTGGGGCCTAGGAGGGAGGTTCTACTCTGCTCCCTGCCCAGGGGCTGCTGTGCTGGA